TAATTATAATCTCTGAAACTGGTCCAAGTAACAAATGATCAGTCACATCTTATACAGTTCATACTTTATCTGTGCTGGGAAATGTCACATTAGTAGCCCCATCGGCCGTTTGTTCCTGCTGACACTCGTGTCCTTGACCAGGACTACGTCTCCTCCCTTGGTGTCAGGTCTGGTTTCAGCCCACTTTGCATGACTTTATAAGGTGGACAAATGTTCTTTTCACCTTTTCCAAAAAGTATCAGCATAGTGTAGAACATTCTCCTGGATTTTTTTGTTGTTGCTGCTGTTTTCCCCATCGATTGTCCTGGTGAAAACTTCTCAAACAGAGCAGGAACATCATTCACTCTCCATGTTGGTCACATTGCTACTGTGAGCAGTACAGGGTTGTCCGACATCCAGCACTACGGACAGCTCCTTCACATATGCGTCTCCCTTGAAGCGCCACTTGTTCATTGAAGTAGTGTAGCAGTAAGAGGGTGTTTCTCGCTGTTTGAGCTTTCCTCTTGTGCGAGTTTGTCTTTGTCAATTGTGAGATTTAGCTTTTTGAGTGTGTCAACTTCTTCCGTAAGATTTTTCAGCATCTCTCATTGTGGGCGTCTTGTTGGATAGCTTTCATGGTGATTACTTTGGCTTGTGAGTTTTTGGTTGTTTGGTGTCTCACTGAAACGCTCCGATCCTGTAAGTCCGGTCGTTAGTGTGTTGGTGTTTGAGGGTTTTCAAAATTCCGCAAAGAGTCTTTCCATGACACCCAGAAACAGAAGTACCCTTAACCTCTGCTTTTCAGAGGATACGGGTACTTCTCAGTCTATTTCACCAGAAGGCAGTTATCCTAGCAATGTTTAGCCCCGACTTATTAAGGGAGCAACAAAGCTTAAAGGGCCATACAGAGTATAACAATATCACCCAAGGTGTGAATGGTTTGGTTTCACTTCATACATAAAAGAAATTATCAGATAATAGGTTCCAACAGAGTCTTATCCTCCTTTAAACAGAGAGGGGGTCTTTTTAAGTCCTTTGCAGGATACTTAGTATTGAAAGTTTGATGCCACTTTGAGAAGGTGTAGGATACCAACGTGTTTTGTGTTCTTGCAAGCAGGTGAGTTAATTGCTCTGGTGTAGCAACCGATATCACCCACATTCAACTGATGCTATATGATCTCTCTTGTGTTCTTGTTCACCCTGTTGTGATGCTCTTCTCATACAGTAAATGGCAACAGCAAATGATTATTTCCAAACAAGACAGACTTCCATTCTAAACTTGGCTATGGTTTTAGAAATGTCAGTGTCGTCACACTACAAATAACGCAAAAAAAAAAAAGAATCTATGTGGTCTTCACGCACAATAAATCAGTGAAATATTTTCTGTACATTAGCCATCTGGGGGGTGGGCTCTTTACGAAAGCACTCCTAACAGAGAGTTTCTCAAATCAAGTTCACCAATAAGCTTTTGGTTAAGGAATGTTTCAACACGTTTTCCATATGAATCAAAAACGACCTGCATTTCATCTGGCTTCTGTGTTGTATACGCCGATCGTATGAAGACGCCAATGTTCTTTATTTTCAGATACGGAGTAGTTGATTGTTGTTTAACGTCTTTGGCATAAATTTGACAAAAAGATCTTGCATTTTTCTTGGAGAGAGTGGAGACGTTTCAGGTCTTGCTATCAGTTGGGGAGCGAAAAGGTAGATGTCCAAGACAGCTGTTCTCTTGGTTTTGATAAACTTCATTGCTTGTTGACAATTGGAACCTGGTCTCCAATTGCGAGTAGATGTTGGTGATGCTGAGCAACCTCCAGAGAAGGCATTTTGATTCTACTGTCTGGAACAGAATCAATGTCAACTGAAGGGGTAGCTGAATGTTGACTTTTCCCCATCACTGACAAGTTTACCCCAGAAAAATATGTTGAGGTTTTGTTTTGTTTTTTACCTAGAGCGCTCAGTTATGTTTCTGCAAAAACATTATTTCTGCACAAGCAAAGATAGTTTGTACCACAGATTTCTAACATTGAAAACTCAACATCCTTTAACTGTTCTTAGCATGAATTCAGCCATTCCATTTACTGACATTTGATTATTTGCCAATTTATTATTGTAATATTCTTTTCACTGTAAACTAAATTGCAGTATATCTTTACAAGATCAACTTCATTACCGATAGTGGAAGCATATCTCACTGCTGTTATGGGAAACTGTGCAAACAGTGGAAGAAATGTTTTATTTTAGTTTTGAGGCAATTACTTCCAGAATATATTTTTTTGTTGTTTTTGTAAAGAAGGTGTACAATTGGCAACTTTATTGACTTAAAAAAAAAGAAACTGGGAGAGATGTTTGAATTTATCGTAACTTTTATTTTCTTATCCACATAGGCTAAAATATTCTCCATTAAATGACATTTTGCTTAAAGTTCCCCAGAAGGCTGCAGAGAAATCACACACTTTTTAATGACCACCATCAAATTTCTGCCGTGTTTCTGGATGGATGTGTTCCCACTCTCCTTGGCAGATTTGGTGGAGTTCATCTAAATGGGTTGTTTAGACCTGGCTTTTTTTTTAATAGTCTACAAATAAACAACAGTATTGAGGCCTGAACTCCATCGTGTCAGAACGTAAAGTTTGAAAGATTAATTTCTCCACCCACTTCACCGGTACAACTGGAGTGGACACAAACCCTCATGACAATACTGCCAATACCGTGTTTGGTAGCTGCAGAGTTGTCAAATACTAAGCAGGAATTATCCATGGCCTTGCTGATAGCTACCTGAAGGACCTTGAGCAGAAACATTTAAAGAAATATTAAATTGGGGTGGATTCGCATATGCAAACTGACCCTATGTGGATTAGAAAAAAATCTGCAATAAATTCAAAGGATGAATTATTTCTTTAAATCACTGAAGTGGGTGTTTGTGTCGACGCTCCACAAAGGGGAAAGAAGAAAAAAGAAAAAAAAAAGACAGATTAAGTCATTAAAATACTAAAATTAATGACATTCATGCCCCAATGCTCCAACAGAGCTAATTCAAAAGACTGCATTACCTCCCCAGCATGCCATCAGGTTGTGCAGAAGTCTGTTAATGGCCTATTCGTTTTAATCAAGGTGGCTGGGAACAATCTGAAAACATGGAGGACGGTGGGCTCAGGAGAACAGATCAAAGCTTTGGCAGAGGTAGCTCCACTAAGGAAAGCAGAGGAGGACGATGTCCGAGCTTTATTCACACAGGAAGCACATCATTTATTTCATAAAACACAGGGACCAAACAAAGAGCTCTTCAGAGAAGTTCATGCAGTATGACAAATGCACTGAAATCGCCATAAAGGCTGTTTGTTTAAAGCCAACACTGTCAAGGAAGGGTATAATGTAGATCACACTGAAACTTCTGCAATCAAAAACACTATGCAGACGCCAAGCACCACTCAATAACATTCACAAAGAAAGTCAAAACACACTGAAAAGGCCGATCAGTTAAGGGAACTATGTCTTTTCTCCTCCCTATTTATGTTTTATAATGCTGTAAAAAAAAAAAAAAAAAACTAAAAGAACATAGATGCAGGGTCTTCGGGCTGACGGTTCTCAATGTTTACACTCCGAGACAAAAGACTGAGCAACTGACGCAGGTCAGACGAAAAACTTAAGATCTCAACTTAAAGTTTGCTAGTGGAGCTCTGCATTGCTGGGCACCAAGTTGTCTGTTTGGGGGTTTTAACGTGTACTTCAGGAACAGCCTGTCCACGGCCCTTGAGGTTGTTTACAATAATAAAATTAAAGAAAAAAAAAAAGTTCACCAAGTTCAGACATGCTAAATACGGGACCTGAGCCAGCCAACTGTTGTGGACCTGATCCCTTCCCCCACTGAAGGCTAACTATGGCTAGCTATGTCCCCACCAACGCTAGCTTAAATAAGGCTTTATCCTTCAGCAGTCAACTAAACAGCCACCCTGCTCGTTCCACACAATAGGGTCGAAGTTGAAGCAATGCTTTTTAGCTCAACTGCTCCATTTGAAGAGCTGAGTTTGGATGACAACGGTGAAACAAGTCAGCCGGGCAAAATTGCCAAACACAAAGGGAACTCAACTTGGAGCTAGCCAGGAGTTAATGTCGCTAGCTTGTATTTTAACCGCTCCATAATAAGTTTGAGGCTAATGACACGCACGCGACTGGCTGCATTTGTTGGTTTTATTTCTTGACCGTGTCGCTGTGCGGGTGTCAGTGGAACTGGCGCTCGCATCTTGTTGTAAATAAGACATCCAGGGGATCAGCTTGAGGCCAGGGCTACAGCCACTTAGCCAACTAGCAGAGCCAGCTAGCTCGCTCGCCCGGTAAAAGAACAGAGACCGGCTTACGTGTTCCTCTGAGTTCCTCTCTTTCCTCGATGACGACCGCGTCCTGGAGGAGATGAAGGCGCCGCTCCGTGTCCGGGGGCTCTTCCTCGTGCTCTCCATGTTTTTCTCTTCTTTGAACCGTCTTCACCGAATCTCTCCAGCCGGCTCCAAACACCGCTTCAGTGAGCGCAGCATCGAGGCGCCATTTCTCCCTGTCTATCTCCCTGTCTATCTGCTCCCTCCCAAAGCGGTTGTGAGTCCTTTTGGCAGGTGCCTTTATTATTAGTATTAATTTTTTTTCTGACAGGGCTACCATCCCCCCCAAAAAAAGACAATAAACATTTTAACATAAAAAAACAGGTTTTTGGTTGATACTTGCAGGGGGGGGAAAAGTGGTGCAATGAACAAACTCAAATCTCAAATTTGGAGTGACTCAAGTTTTCCTCCTGCTCCTCATTAAATAAGTATTTCATCTACAACTTCTTATTTTAGTGCTTGAATTTAACAGGGGAAACTCACATCTTATATGGAATTGTTACACAAGTTGTGAAATATGTCCACTTATGTGTTTTTCCCCACTTATTTTTCAAGTAGGTGTAGATGAAAACCAAAAATTTGGTTTCTCTGACAATGTCAGTGAAAAGCAACAGAATGTATGTGATATAATTACACGACCCAGTCATAATGAAGACTGCTGAACTGACGAAGAAGTTTGCCTTTTCAGAGTGCTGTGAGCAATCGTGTTGTTGGAAAGTTAGGTGGAAGGAAAAAGTGTTGTCAAAAAGTGTTGCGAAAAGATGTACAAGGGGCATGGACAACACCGACCTTTAGAGGAGTAGGAACCAATTGTCATTTCAGAGTGTGAGGGAGATTTACAAGTCGTGGGAGGAAAACTGCATGACCAAAACCCAACAAAGGAAAGATAAAGATGAGAGACAAACAGCTATGAAAGCAACTTGGGCTTGACCTCAGCCATTATTGCATAAATTATTGCATCGATTCAATAATTCATCCCTTAGGTCCCCCAACCAAGTATCGAGCGCTAATTCTACGCAGTACATGTTCATACTTTATAGTAGGCTGGCATTTTTTATTTATTTTTATTTTTTTAAAGAAAGTTGAATTTAATCTTCAAATTTTCTAAGAAGGTGACGTTTTGTGTTTTCATCAGCTGTCACCCATAATCATCAGAAATAGTAAAAAGAACACATGAGAATTAGAAATGTACACGTGATTTTTATTTATTTATTTATTTATTTTGTATTTAAATGATTGAAATAAAAGGACTATTAATTTATAATGAAACTTGATTGAGACAGGATCTTATTGTTCACATTTATGGCTCCCTCCAAAAAAAAACAAACATATTTCTTTATTTATTTATTAAACAAAAAATATATATCATATACCAGACGTGATTGGTTTAACCTAAATATAGCTGAGCGGTGCTGCAGCTTTACGACAGCAGCACACTTTACGGCAGTCATTTCCTGCACTGCAGAAGAGCAGCTGCCATAAACTTGAAGCTGCAGATGTGCAACCCGGGTTTAAGCCACAAAGCGCAAGCTGGTAAGTCGCTGTTTGACTTCACGCTTAATATGAGCATGTAGCCAATGGTTTTAGCGTGTCTCTCTGTGTGCGTGAAAGTCACGTTTGCGTGTTCAGCCGGTGTCTCGCTCCTTGCCGTCCACAGCCCACTTGCATAAACAATCTCGTCGGCATAAGCCACTCGGGTGTGTGGCTGTTTGTCAGCAGCGGCTTGTCACATTGGGCACTTTGTTCTACTATTCCTAGCATACTTTCAACCAAGGAATGAGTTTTACGACATGTTTTTAAATATGTCACCACAATGCAGACGAAGCATGCTATGTAAAGGCTCTGCTGTCGTGGTGTTGGAAAACACAGAGACAACACTATTGGCTGAGCAATATGGAGTTACAATGAATTCACACATCTTCAGTTGACATTGATATCATGTGAAAAAGATGCAAATGGTTTTTGCATGCCACTGTAATTTGCGATCCTGGTTTCGGGAAACAAGAGCAGTATAAAGGAAGCAGTATAGTCTTGATGAGGCATTGTTTAGAGAGGAAACTTGCTATCAGCTGACATGTTTTTGATGGATTAAACTTTTTTTTCTTCTTTTTTTATCGCTTTACCTTTCACATGTTTTATTAACAGGCGGTCAGCGGGGAAAATGAGGATGAGGTTCCAATGAGTCGTAGTTTCTCAGTGGAAGACCTCCTTGATGAGGTGGAGAAGATCTGCTGCGATGCGTCAGGGACCTCAAAGGTAACTCATCCTCTCTCAATGCAAGTTTATTGTGTAATGGAGATGTCGTTATATAAACTAAGGCTAGATGCTGAAAGGTAAGAATGCATTTTTCTTGTACACATTTCGACACAATATTAAGTAGACGAACCTGACCACTGCAGTTTGACCAATGTAGTTTGTGCAGTAGAGATTCACAGAGAAATTAACCAGTGCATGGAACCGGACCGGGCCTGACCAGGTGCTGCCCGGCAGAAACTCAAAAGTCCTTTGCTGAATCAGTGAATGAACAGTAGTTTAGTGAAACCAGGTTGCACTGATGATAGCACTCTAGAAATATCCTGATGTGGTGAGATAGGTCTGTAGGTTCAAGCTCTAAGAGGGCGAGCGAGAGCAAGACTTCAGTAAAAAGCTAAATAGAGTTCAGAAAAGCTTTCAGCCTCTGGTTTTAGAAATGTTGGCAGCCTTCTGGAAATCTCAGAGGATCCAAATTCTCCTGAAAATACATCTTGAGTGTGCTGTTTTAGTAACTCCAGCCACACGCTAACCCCTCGTGTAGGGTCCTAAGACCAATTAAAATGTCTTTTCACCATCACAAAAGTCTGTTTCACAGCAACTGTTCTTCTCTCACACTGACATATTGTCTCATCTTGTGAAATTAATAATTGGCCGCTCTATAATGGGCCTCTTCTTATATTGCTGTTCTTATAGGGTAATAGCTAGAAAATGGTAAAACCAGGTCAAAGTTCAAGATCTGCGTTTTAAAAGAACTTTGATCCTTGCTTCTGTTGTCAACATCTCTGTTTATGGGCTTAAAATAAATGTTTATTTTGCCGCGTCAAATCCAGGTGGAGATGGTGGTGAGGCTGTGGAAGGACGGCTTTACCATTAACGATGGAGACTTCCGCAGCTACTCCATGCCAGAAAATCAAGAGTTCCTGGATGCCATCAAAAGAGGGTGAGAGCCTCCATTGATCTGAAATATACTCAGAATGCTTACGATTGCAGTGTAGTCGTTGTTTCTAACTGCATATAATCATTTAATCCATTTACGCCACCTTGAAAGGAATGTTCAGGAAATGAAGTAATGTTTCCTGTTGACTTGGTTCTTTTACCTGTCGGTTTATTTGCAAATTCGTCAGGCATTTCCACACTTTTTTTTTTAATCCTGTTTGTCTTTTGTATCAGTAAAATTAGCATTCAACTTGTTCTTTACCTTTGAGCTCTGCACAACGCTCACTAAGCCAAACGGGATTCTTCAGACAGCAGATGAATCCCATTTCCCCTTTGTCTCATTGAGTGATTCATCTGATAAGACTACTTTGCTGAACTTTGACCTGTCCCAGGGAGCTTCCAGCGGAGTGGGAGAGCAGAGCAGAAGAAGAGGAGCTGGAGATCAGTGTGGAGGATATGACTGAGGAAAACTATGTCCCCAAGAAGAAGGCTTTTCACCCGTTCAGCGGGAGAGGATACCGACTTGGCAGGTGAAAGCTTTTTGCTGTATTTATTCTTTTATTTTAAATAGATTTTAGGTCCTACTCTGAGTTATTTGGAATATAAAGAGCGGATTACTGTTACAGTATCGTTAAAATGCACTGCCTCGGCTAAATAGTCACAGACTGTCTCAAGTTTCAACATAGTTTTATTCCCACTTCTGCCATAACACTTTAGACCACTAGGGGTCCCACTAAGTCCATGTATTGAAACACCCAGAGGCAAATCCTAAAAGGCTCTTTGTCAGCCTTTAAGATTTAGAATCTCGTCTACAGGAGATCTTGCGCAAATATCACATTGTTTAAATCATGCATACATTAAAAATATACATATATATTTGACATTATAGTTATGTTTGGACACTACCAACTTTTGAGAAAATGAGAATAAGCGTCTTTGCACCTGCTTTTTACACTTTAAACCCCTGTCCGTTCCCAGCGTTGCACCCAGAGTTGTGGCCCGGTCACCATCTGTGCACGAGGATGGAGAATCTCCTCCTATTCCCATGGTAACACTAGACCACTCCCTTCCCGTCACCTCTCTGCAGATCTGGTTGGCCGACGGCAGGAGACTGATACAGAGGTTTAACCTATCGCATAGGTGCGTGTTCCCCGAACTACACCACTTCACACACAGAAAAACCTTTCTTCATGACGAATATCTCAACACTGGCTGCTCCTGCTGCACTGCCTGTAAATCCCATAATCTCTCAACATCATAGTAAATATGTAGTAAAAGGGAGCGGCGGGATGAGGGCAAAGATTTTAGGTTATTGTGGCTCAGGGGAGGGGGGAATGGAGAAGGGGTTTATGTTTTTTGAGGATTAGATAAAGCTTTGTTCTAGTCTGATAAAGTTCGAAGGCTGAAGAAATGGCGCACGGGAGTTTCAGAGACATAATCTGAGTTGTAGCAGCAGCGTGGATCTATAAAATCCCCAGTGAGGAATTGCGTAACCCTGATGCAGCATTTATATAACAGGCTAAAGGAAAAGAGAGGACTGAACCCCTCCAGCCTTAAGCTAGTCTCAGAGTGCAGCGAGTGTTTGGGCTGCCACAGGACTGCCGGGTCGTCATTAATATTAGATGATGTTCCCAGCATGCTGCCTCAGATCTCACGTGTCGACACAGGGGGTGGAGTGTTAGACTGGGAATCTTGGGCTTCCATAAAGGAATCGGCATGCTTAACGCGGGATGTTTCACCCAGGGTGTGTGAGGGAAAAATTAAGAAATTCATTCAGGGTTTTTTTTTCTTTTTCTTTTCAGGATTATTATGGAATAAGAATATTTAAATGTCTGTCATTGGTCCTTTAACTAAAATAAAAAATTCCATATTGGTCGTTCAAGTTAACATGAACTTTATGCACAATAGACGCAAATGATACAGAACATCTCAAAATGTTTTTGCAAAAAAAAAGTAATCGTTTACGTCACATTCTTTCATGTTGGCTTCTTTTCACGTTCGGCTTTCAAAAGACGTCATGAAACAGGAAGTTGAATTATGCATTGGAATGGAAACTAATTGGATTGGTCAAAATTCAGCCAGGTTTCTATGATTGATCAGAAAAGAGGAAACAACAGAAAACGTTAAGGTGATTGGTCAGGTATGAGTAAATTGCAGGCCGCTGCAAACTGATGACTAAATCAGCATTAACAGTTGCGATCGCAAAACTGCAGCGTTTATAATTAAAGCCCAACAGCCGGCTCACAGTGACCATAAAAGCAGCTCAAAATGAATAAAAATCTCTCTGGACCTTTTTCACCCCTCAGTTCTAATCCGAGTTACGATTCTCCTTTAAGGATCTCCGATGTCCAGGATTTTGTCGCCCGCTGCCAGAGGAGCTGTCCACCTTTCGTCCTGACGACATCACTTCCTTTCCGTGAGCTCAGTGACAAAGAATTGAGTCTTGAGGAGGCGGATTTGGCTCACGCCGTCATCATGCAGAGACCCCTGAACACACAGGCTCTGTTTGGACACTCCTGACCGACACAGTCCCATACATCACACAGCATGCTACCTTCCCCCTTCTCTTCATAGACACGTCATCATCCTCTTTTTTTATATATATATACAGCAACCTTAAGGCGCCCTATGCCTTGAAGTGTTTTAATCTTCACTGTGCACTTTGAACTGCACTTTGTTGCCAACAAGCTAAAGGTGATATTATCACCAGATTAGTCAGAAAGTGCTAATGAGGGGCTCTGTTGACACTTTGTCTTGATCTTTTGGAGAGGAAAGTTTACCTGACAACAGACTTACGGAAACCCAGCATATCGTTACACTTGGTGTCACATACAGCTCTGGTAAAAAAAAATTAAGAGACCACTGCACTGAACCTTCTGGTTATTCCACCAAATATAGATTTCTGAACTTTTCTTGACGTAAGTATTGTTTTTTCTAAATAAATATGAACTTGTTTTCTTTGCATTATTTGAGGTCTGGAAGCATTTAGTCTTTTACGTTATTTTGACAATTTCTCATTTTCTGCAAATAAATACTAAGAAAACGATGTTCATTTTACTCAAACATACACCTAGAAAAAGCTAAATCAGAAACGGATCGTTTTAAGTGGTCTCTTAATGGTTTTTTTTTTTTCCAGAGCTATTTACAGGTCTGGAGAGAAATTCATATCGCTAAATATAATTAATTTTGGCATCGTTTATTTATTTTTTATTCTGCTTTTTTTGGGGAGGTGGATTGTACAGCTTTGATAGTTTCTAAAAACAGGTTACTGGGGCCAAGCTTTTGATTGGCTGGCATTATGCATCCCAGATGGCCTTCCGAACGACCTCAGTCCTGTTGCAAAAACGATAAACAAAGGCTTAAAATCAGGGTCTGTGCCAGCAAACCAATCAGAGTGAATGAGCTCTGCCAGTTCTGACCAGAAGAGTGGTCAAACATCCAGGCAGAATCGTCCAAAAAGCCTGTTGATGATTTCTTAAGCGACATTTGTGAAAATATTAGTGGAGTTGTATGTGCACATGATGGCGAATGCACATATAATTTCACTAATGCGTGCAAATAAATTTTTGAGGAGTGTTCATGTTTTTAAAAATTATTAAAGTTGTATTAGGTGTAGTCACTGTTATCTTTAAATGCGCCAAAAAATATGAAATTCATTCATTCATCCGCAATGAGCGGGTGACGAACATCTGCTCGGAAAGTTCTCCTCCTTCATACAACTACTATCAAAGTCTTCCCAATGTAAGAACACAACTCTTATGCACTGCAGTTTTAAAACGGTGCTGATAGGTGGGACATATTCTTGGAGATGTGATGTTTTGTTTGCACACTATTTATGTTTGGGCTTGTTGTTTGGCTCTTTCAGGTGTTTACATAATTTTATTGTTTTTTTTTTTAACGTCAGTATTTTTCTTCTCCTTTTATTGAGGCTTGTGGGAATGTGAACTCTGCTTTACTTGATTGAATGGTTGATGAGCATATCTGCGTTTGTTTCAGTACACTCTGCACAGATGAGCTGCTTGTATTTCTGCTTGATTTTTTTATTTTATTTTTTATGTCTTGAACTCAATTATAATTTTCTGTGCTTTATCTTTTTTCATGGACAGGGTTCATTTTTAATCTCAGAAACTCTCACAGAAGGCTGGGTCTGCTCAGATTTGTGCCAAGGTACAGAATGACTGCTGTGCTGTATTTCTCGTAAGAAGTGTGCCAAACTATCCAAGCCTTATGTAAATGTGCTACACAGTGATGTCTAAGCAAGCCTGTACTATTAAAAAAAGGTACTTCAACTGTTCAGGAGGAATGTCTTTTGTCTGAATTAAAAAATAATAATAATAACAGAGCAGTCTGAATCTGCCCATGAATTCTATTCATCTACAGTATATTTACAGTTTTTAATGTTTACTTTAATCTGCTTGATTTAATATATATATATATATATATATATATATATATATATATATATATATATATATATATATATATATATATATATATATAAATCAGCAATATATATATATATATAAATCAGCAATATATATATATATAAATCAGCAATATATATATATATATATATATATATATATATATATATTGCTATCTTTTTGTTGTGTGTTTTTAACTTTCTTGAAACAGCTCTTTGAATTGTCTTTGGCTGAAAGGTGCTATGTAAATAAAGTTTCCTTGTCTTGCCTATAATGTGCAGGGCCCTTCTCAGCAACAGCTTTTGTTCTTTTGGTGATCTCGCCGCCCTTTAACACAGTGGCGCCCTGATCTATGAGCCACATCCCCAATACCTTTCAAGCGGTAGCAATTTCTGCTTGATAGAGTGGAAGTTGCTACCGCTTGATTTAAAAAAAAGTCAAGATTGGTTGATTTTTTTTTTTTTAATTCAGAGCTAATAAACTTGACCCAGCCTTTAACACATCTGATTGTATCATAAAACAGTGTTAGAGCTGCATTTTTTTTTTATTTGTGCATTTTTTTGCACACAAGTTCGTTTTTTCTTCTGCCACTCCTCAGAAGAACTCGGAGCATCATTACCCATCTTCAATATTTCAAGCTCGGCGGTTTGGGTGAGGGAGGTGAGGATGTCTGATGCCTCTGGAAAATGAGCTGACATCCTCCGAACGGCGAAGGTCGCAGATAGAGACCCTGGATGAAAAATGTCTTTTCCTCTCCATAAATTTACAGCACAGCTCATGTAGTTTTCCCTCACCGGACCGGGGAGGCTGGAAGCGCCCCGACCTCCTCAAGCCAGATAGCGTCTGGCCATGGATTTACCGAGAACACATTTCCTTTTGTGCTACATATTTAATAAGGCTAAGCACGCAGGGAATTACTTTTCCTCCAACTCCCGTATTTCCTTTCAGAAAGGCCTTTTTTTATGTTTTGTTTTCTTTTTTACTCGGGCAGCAGCCCGGCTTTCATTTTGCACATTCCACGTCACGCATTACTGGGAACATATAGCGCTCTGACAGCGGGTCAAAATGCCTGACCTTTCCTTTGTCGCTGTCAGTGATGTGGTTTTGGACAAGGTTTTCGCATACTTCAAATTCATGAAGAGGTTTGGGTTCAGCAGCTGAAGTCTTCATGATATGTTTGCTGTCATGCTCTGATTAGAGGCTTTCTGTGAAGGGTAAGCATCTCAAGCTCCGGGTCCGGCCTCAGAAAGTAGCTTTTAGAAAAAATCGGATCAGAGGTTCTATATGTCATAAATCACATCCAACGAGGCCTTTAAAAACCAACGTTGTAACTTTGCGAAGAACTATATTTTCCTCGTCCGACAAACAACGGCTGCGTTTTGCGTTTAAACCATAAACTCGAAGCTATTTTTCAAGAAAAGGTGAGGGATGGGGGGGGAAAAAAAGACACAAGTTTCCAAGATCATTGTGAGAAATGACAGAACGAGAAAGAAAACCGATAAATACAAGCAAAAAACACTTCATTTTTAACTTACTCCTCATGTCAACATGTCAATGGTCAATACAGATTGAATTCTGTTGTGGCACATCGCTATCCATTGTTTTTTGTTGTCTTTTTGCATGAGCAGTTTCCCAGGATGTCATTAGAAAGCAGATTAAATACAGGGGGGAAAAAAATTCAGTCCATTTACAGAGGTCATCCTTTTCCTTTCACTTTACACATGTGCACTGCAATGCGTCAGTCTGTCAAATATAGTACAATCTCAGTAAATACTTTTGCGAGTCAATGTATACATTGCAGGAGATTGCAAACAATCAGCCTGACTTTGCCTGACATGACACTTTTACAAGAACAGCGATGATTAGTGTGGGAAACATGCAGCTGGAAGCCCGGGCGCTACCTAGTTTCTCGAACGCCTCACGGGTTTTTTTTTGTTTGTTTGTTTCTTCTTTTACTCTGAGCAAAATGAAACCATTTGTTGTTTTTCGTTTTGCGTAGCACGTACGACAATTTCAACAGAAATGATTAGATGTGGAATGGAATCTCCTTGACCTGGGCAAGGACACACAAATCATTTGTTTCCTGCAGCTGTGTGACAAGATGTTTTTTAAGCCACGATATCCCGCCAACGCCTCACCACAGGCACCACAAACACAGACTTGACTCCTTTTGTTTCTCAAGATCTGGTCCAAACAGCTTAAACCATGTTTACTTACACTGTATGAAAAAAACAAACAAATTCCTGTTTTTCTTTCACCTTCCGACAAAAAAACCAGACACAACTATCTCCGATTTTTGCCAGGAGACCATATCATTTGGGTCACATGTCGTGGGAATCCCGCTACAAAGTTTTAACCGTAACTTGTTGAAATGTTTCCCATTCCTCCTGACAGAAATAGTGTTTGGTTGGTAAACAGACTTAGTCACACATTTCCGGCTCTACCCGCATTTTATGCTCTTTGTTTTTCTTTTTTAATGGGACTGAAATCTGGGCTTTGTGTCGCTCACTCCGAAACATTTTTCTTCCTCCCTACCTCCCCCCGCCGCCAACTACTTTGTAACTATTTGTCAGTATCATCCATGTGGAAGAGCCTGACACATCATGTTGCTTTGGTGTTTCGACACAGTGCAATTTACTTTGTAAAGTCCACCGGTCCCTCTGGCAGCAAATCCACACAGCATGATGCTGCCACTCCCAAACAGCTGGAAGACATTTGCTACATTTCCCTCCAGATGGGACCACCATCATCACACTTTCATTTTAGTGAAACAGAAACAGGGCATGTCCAAAAAATGATTTGCAAGCTCTTTTTTTTTTTTTTTTTTTTGGAATGACATTATATAGCAAAGAAGTAGCCTATTAAAATACATTCCCCCACTTTCACTCAAATGCTGTGAATTAATATTTAAGAGGCTTAAACACATTGTGTATCGCCTTATAGGGGACATTTTCCTTAGAGCGGGTTAAAGGTCATACAACTTATTTTGACTTTTTTTTTTCTTGCTTTATATTTAATGCAGCACATTTAAACATCTGGTTTCAACTGTAGGTTCTCCAGCGATTCGACTCGAAGCAGATAAAAGATGTCGCTCTTTTTCTGCCCCAGAAAAACAACAACAACCAAGTCGATGATGATGATGATGATGATGATGTCGATCCGTTGCAGCAGAAACTGCCGCCGGAGTTTAATCATCCTATAATCTCTCTTCGGCCCGCTGTCGCAAGCGCACCCGCGTGCATGACACGTGCCTGCGCACGCGCAGGCACGTGTCATGCGCCGCCGCGGCCGCCGGGGGGCGCAGCTCCGCTCCGTCACTGGCTGTCGGCAGCTGACTGGAAGGAGGCGAGATTAAGAGCTCCTTCCATCCATCCTCCGCAGTCTCCTTCGCATCCCGCCCGGCGGAACCGAGCCTCAGACGGGCGCGCGGACCAGAACGCCGACCGGCGAAACGTGGCCGGCGGCTGCGGCCGCTGCTTTTTTTTTTCTTCCCTCCCCCTCTCCACCCCCCACCGTCACCTCGAGGTAAGATGACGCCGCTGCTCCCCGCATCCTTCGGTGTTGTTATCAGCTGCGCCGCGGATGCAGGCGCTCAGTTGTGGCGGAACAGGTAGAGATGAGCGTCTTCCTGCGTGGCACCGTGTCGAACTTCAGCTCCTGGATGCTCTGCAGGGCGTATCATAGGGTACAGGAAAGGCACGTGCATTTGTTGTCTATTTACATTTAGGATTTGCTGTGGGCCACATGGTTCTTCATGCAGGGTGCTATCTCGTGGGGGGGCAGCACAAGAACTTAAAGGGGCAGTGGGGGGCATTCTAAAGGCCAAAACACAAACAATCATTATTTATGTTTTGGCATGATGACTACTTTAGATTGAGTCTAGAAAGTGTGAGAAAACCATCGTCCGTTCATTACAGATTACTTTTGAAAACTCCTCCTAGTTTATTAAACACTTTTTTTTTTTTCATCAGAAATACAGCAGAGGTTGTTTTTTTGGTGAAATGTCGTCTTCTTTCTGCGCATTGCCTCCCTGGCCAAACGTATCGGTAAAGGTGTAAAAAAAAATATAAATAAATAATAAATATATATAAGTAATAAATATGTAACTATTAAGTTCAAACACAGGAATAATGCTTGACGACAAGGGAGAGCTGGAGGAATGAAGGAAAAGGATGTGCGGCCGGAAGCTGCGGTAATAGCCGAGACACTGTTTCTTCAATTAAGTCACCTTTTTGGTTTTCTTTCTTATATTTTATTTTATTTTATTATTATTATATTTTTTGGGGGGAAAGCAGAAGAGATCAAGATTTGAAAGTTTTAGTTCCAGCTAAGTTCCCACCTAGTCCACTTTTGCCCTCATTCTGGAAAGAGAATGCTATTATTGTCTCTCCCCGATCAAAGCCCAAGGCTTAAAAGCATTACCTTTTGTCGTTTTGCTGACAAAATTTTTCATTTTTCTCTTCTTTTTTTACATTTTTTAAAATTTTGGCCACCTCCAATGAGATATCACCCTGGTTGGTGAGCCTTACCTCCAATGAAAAAAAACCCACAAAATTTTTGACATTATGAGTTTATGTCACTGCCACTGTTTCCTCATATCCTAAAAGTTATATATTTCGTTTGTCTTCACATATCGCATCTGCACCGAAACGCTCTCCTGCAGTCTTTCCAAACGCCCAAACAGCTTTTTCCCGCTGCGCCTAAATGTGCGGGCACACGCCTGCAACCGGTGCTGTTTTACTGCATACCTGCGTGTGTGCGCGCGTGTGTGAGAAAATCAGGTGAGTTCTTTCATGTGTCTCCTGTCTTGCCCTTCCCCTCCCCGGCTCCCTCCCAGAACACACAGCAATGTGAATGGCGGCGGAATTCCACAGCAGGGCTGTCTGTGGGGGCCAGGAGGAGCCGCCCGCCTCGGGAGCCGTCGCTCACTGGCACGCGCGCAGCCACGGCCACCTCCAGTTCCAGCCCCCGACACGCACCTCCCAGTGGCAGGCCACTCTGGATCACACCAGGAGTCACGCTCGCACTCATCACTTCATCGCTCCCTCGCGCGCGCAGCAGCCGAGGTACAGCTGTCGCCTCACACACAGTCTCACGGCCATGACCAAAGCAGAGAGGGGAATGCAGGGCTCTGCGGAGAAGATGACCAAGGCCAGTGAACCTTTGGTTCCCAAAGCTCCTCAGCAGGTAAGGTTTTTTTTGTTGTTGCTGTTCTGCATGCCATTTTTATTTTTTATTTTTCCGGGTGTGCTCTTTCTTTCAACTGATCTCCCCTCACGTCGCCACTGTAATTCAGAAGCCGTTGCCCTTCTTTGAACATCTGGATGTAATCTGCCCGGGTTCGCCTGTGACTGACTTGATGAGATGGAGAGTAAAACATGTGATGCCCGTGGCTGCTTATCTCTGTGTGTTTAATCAGCTTTATTGTCTTCCTTTGGACTGTAATTCCCCCCAGCTAGAGAAGTCAGTGGCTGCCAGCTGATTCTATTCAATTGAGAAAATCTGTTCCAATTTGCCAGAAGACCTGCAGGAAGATTGCTTGTCTTTGTAATGGCTATATCAGTCGATCACCAGGAAACAAGGCAGCGGAGGAGACAGAAACTGACAACTCGCTCACAGTGATGGGAGTGGGTGGGCTTTCTCTCTGGGGCTTTTTCTGTTGCACGATTTGTTCGGCTTTTCTTAGGAGCAACAAATCATCTGAAAAACCTTTCTGACATTTTATCATTCTTACTATTTTACGAGGGAAACTGTAGAAATGGACTGGTTACAGATATCAAGGTTTTAAAGGAACAATGCTTTCAGAGTCGTCCAAATTTGCCAGTTTTTCCTCTTGCTGCACATTGCTGGTCAGCTGACTGAAAGAAGGCTCCTCTTATTGTGCAAAAGAAATACGCTGCGGCGTAAGATTTTTTTCCAGATCCATAGAGGTCATAGAGCGACGAAGCTCTATGACCTTCGTCGCTCTATGACGAAGGTCATAGAGCGACGAAGGAATGTCGCTCTATGACATTCCTTCGTCATAGAGCATTTATCGCATCGCTTATTACATATCGCAAAAAATTTCTGAGCTAGATGGATGTCTGGATAAATTTTATTTAATGAAGTCGAATGAAAAATAACAGAGTATTTTCGAAAGTGCTATTTTTGCTGTTCTTCTCCACTTTTTGTTCCAGAAGAGCATCCATAAATGTGCATACTTTAAAAATCAGACTTTTTAAAGCACATACTGTCCTGTAGATCCTTCTTTCAGATGTTTTCTCACGAACAATGTTTGTGTTTGTGGCTCTGTGCCATGCAGTCACAGCATTCATCTAGAAAACAAATCAGAATTAGCTCTTTAATCGTTTTTACTGTTATCATTATAACAACACAAAATGTCACCCAGCACCAACCCCTCTCTCACTTAAAGCTTCTTGGTTATCTGGTGAGAAGGAGGTGCCTTCCACTGGCTGCATTTCCTTTGGAAACGGAAAAGACTTGTTGATGTTCCGCTGAAGTCGAAAATTGCTTCTCTGCATGATATCAGAAGTGCGATTAAAATCCCACATGCATGCATTTGTTCACACAATAAGTCATTAAAAAAAAAAAAAACATGCTGCCCCATCATCCTCCCGTGGCTGCCACTTCCTGTCATCCTAGTCGTCTTTTCTGCCAGTAGTAACATCCAGCTGATGATTACGACTTGCTTTAATGTTTCCATAGCATTTTGGTTAAATATGCAAGCTTTGCATATTTAACCAACCATTATAACCATTTTCAGCTCCAACCTTTAGGCCCCTCCTGGCACGGCGCCTCCTCTGGCTGCAGTCGGGACTGCAGGGAGCGGCTCACAGCGTCTCATCTACTGAGATGCTAAAGAAGGCGTCTGATTTTCTCTTTTTTGTTGTTGGGAGCGTAGAGTAAAGCAGTGCTGTCCTCCTGCCTACTGTTGCTGCACACTGTGGTGATCCACAGTGTGCAGCAACAGTAGGCTGAAAGAAGAGCCCTTTTGACAAGAATCTACAACATGTGCCTTGGGTTCGCGTTCCTTTTTGTGTTCCAAAAGTAACACCCCTCCCCTACCCGTTGCTGTCAGTCAGATGTTTAAATCAAAGCTCTTTTTAAGGAGATCCTTAGAAACATTCCAGCGAGTCTAATTTTCTGGAAAAAAATAAAAAGCTCCTGCACTTTTCACGCGATTGCTTGTTTGGAAATATTTTCGATAGTCACTATTATTAAATTAGTTGGGTTATGTATTCATAGTCCAGGTATGAATACATTCCTGGGTAACCAACATAAATCCCTTTTTTTATACTCCCAAAGTGAAATAAAAAGAATTTTAGAAAGCTATTAGATGTTTCAGAGGTTGTTTATTTCATATTTCAGCACACGTGTGTGAAAAATAATAAAATGTACTAAATCAGGAATGTTAAAGATAGCAATGCAACGGCTACAGTAGCAATAACAATGTTAGTGGTTGATAAACTATTGTTACTTTCTGCTTTAAGATGGAAACAATAAGATCAAGGCACACGCCTATTGTTTTAATGCTTGTGGTGACATGGTGTCATCTTACCGTGAGAATTTCGCACCGACCCACGCCTGCAGGCAAGAGCATAAAGGAGGTTATGTCCTTTTATGTCCTAGTGAACGACATGGTGTCATACAGCAACTCCACCACAGTCACTCATCTCCCACGTTTCTACAACAGCGCTGAGGTTTCAGTGAAACAACCATTACCTCACACAATATAACCAGTTCGGCAACTCTGACAAACTCCTGTCTATCCATTCTTCAGGGCTCCATGGAGTTTGTCACCTTTGAGCAAATGCTTTGAAAATGAGTCACGGTGAAAGTCATTTTCTCCAAAGGACAAGAGAAAATCTGTAAACGTGAACATTGTCTGTGTGTGCTAGTTTGGTTTTATCCAACTGTTCGGCTTGTTTAACTGCATATTCCACAACAAGTTCGGATTTGCCACGCTGAAATGAACTGACCATCACATTTGCTTTAAAAGAGACCACAAAAATCAGTGAACAATAAATATTCATTTGGGTTCCATGCTCCACCCGTCAGGAGTATTTGTTCAAACCATCGGACTTTGCTCATTTTCATGTTATCTTAGACGGGAAAGTAAGGGTTTGGTTGGTATCTGGTCTTCAATTATTGCTTCCAAAAGCAATAATTGACAAATCTTGAGAACTGCGGTGTACGAAACAGAAAATATGTGGGTGAGGCGCTGCTATTAAGTGATTGTTCTGATGTGTAGGGAACTAATTACAAAAGCTCTTTTTATGTCCACTAAGTGTCCTCGAGAAACGAGCCATTAGAATAATCCATAATGTTGGTTATTCTTGAGCTGGTGGAATTTACAGTTGTTCAAATTATGTTTAAGGTACCTAATAAACTGCAACCTGGGCTCACACAGAGCATGTTTTCTGAAAGAGAATGGGCATATAACTTAAGGATTCGTAGTTTACGAACAAGAAAGAGCTTTTGTATTTCAATCTGTGGTGTAAAGTTCTGGAACAAGTTATATGAGGAGTTGAAAGTCAAAATTCAATACAATTTTAAAAGAAATATAAGGATGTCATTTTCACAAGATATAGAAATATGGGTGAGAGATAGCATCAATGTATATATGTAAATTGAGGCTAAAGCATATGAGTGTGTGAGTATGGAGGCAGATGTTAATCCAGATAAAATGGAAAATTAACCTGTTTGTTTTTATTTTTGATTCTATTTATTAATGAGGCTCCATCTGAAAACACTGTCTGAGTTTATGGGGTGGGAGTTCATACGTTTCCTACTTCTTCCCACTCCTTTTCGAGCATGTTAAGCTTACTGTGGTGCAAAAAAATATGTGTCTTTTGCATTCCTTGTTCTTCTGCATGATTTTGTACTGCTATCATGTTCGAAATAAATCAATCAATTAGGCTTTATGCAAAAAAACGTCAAAGATTCAAAAAAGCAACCTGAGCTTAAATTTTAATCTGATTATCTTTAGTTTTCCTCATAATCTTTCTGCCTTTAAGCAGTTATGCCACACGGAAGCACCTGAAAGTGGATTAGGTTTGAAGACTGACTCTAGTACTCGGACCAGCTTCTGCTCAAGCAGAGCATCCCCACAGCATGATGCTGCCACCACCACATTTCACTGGTGGCAAACTGCAAACAGGACCTTTCACGTTCCTCCCTCCTTCGCAAACATGAAGAGATAATAGCTGCGCTGTCAACAGAACATTTAATCTCTGGAGCTTCTGCATAAAAGCAATAGGCCTCTTGGCTGCACACCGCGTCCTTTCACCGCCCAAATATGAAGCCCGTCTGCATTGTGGAAGGCTTTTCTTGTGAAATACAATGAGCACGAATGAGCACTTGGGAAATTACCACTGCAAATTTCACGTGAATAACTTTCTGTACCAATTAGTCCCAACAAAGGAGACACAAAGACTTGGGCAGAGTTTATAGGGCTTCTCATAACCTTCATCATTTGTAAACATAACCAGCCTGAAGCCACTCGACTCTTCAAAATGAGATCTGCGGTGGTGTGACCCTTATAATTTGAAATCCTTAACAAAGAGTCCATGAGACATGATTGGTTAAATAGTTTTTTTTTCCCTCCTACCACCCTTCCTTTAATTATCAGGCGCCATTAAGAGGGTCTCCCTTGCGCAGCCTGAGGACTGACCCACCTCACACTGCAAAAACACAAAGTCTTACCGAGCATTTTTGGTCTAGTTTTCCTTATAACTATCTTAGTGCACTTGAAATAAGACAAAATTAACTTACAAGTAACTTTCCATCATTTCTTATATATCAGCTTGTTTTAAGTGAGAAATTCCCTAATACTGTTGAAAAAGTGCTAGTTTCACTGGCAGATTATTTCACTTATAACATGGGAAAAAATGCCTTGTTTAATGAAATAACCTGCCAGTGAAACTAGTACTTTATTCCATCAATATAAAGGAATTATTCACTTAAAATGAGCTAATATGTCTTGATGAAAAGTTACTAGCTTTGTCTTATTTCAAAGGTTGCACTAGAAACAGGACTGAAAATACTCGGTAGTGTTTTGTGTTTTTGCAGTGCAGAGATTAGGCCCCCTGTGTGAGCTCCTGCTGATGCCCCCCTTGTCTCTCCGTGTCGGCACAACTTAACTGTGTGTGCTCCACCGAGACAACAGCAGAGAGAGGATATCCTGTTTGTGCTCTTTGATGACCAGAACTCAGTAATGAGACTTCGGTGGGAAAATGAAGAGAAAAAAAAGAGAAAGAAGTGTTTAGAGACATGCGGGGAGAGTATTTTTGCACATCATCAGTTAAGCTCTCACTCTCCAGACGCCCGAGACTTTGATTTTTTTTTTTCTTTCTTTCTTTTCCCCCCTCTTTCCAATTAAGGATAATTGCAGTGAGAGTGGAAGAACAGAGAGTTTTGAAGTCGGAACCACCGCGCAGTCTTTACTTACCTCTGACCCGCTTGTCTTTTGATTGAATAATTACACACCTCCCTCCTGGTAATTGTCGTCCTCCAGCCCCTGCGTGTTTTTGATGGGGGCTGAACAGAGGAGGAAGAGAAAAACCTGAGCTGGATAATGACAGTGCGCCGGTCGTGGCTGTGGTCGCTTTGGTGATTTCCGTCTTTCATTTAACTCTGGGCAGAGTAGCTGTCAGCCAAGCCTTGCCACTGGATGTGGACTGAAGCTATTTCGCGTGCGACACACACAGAGGTTAGTTATATTTACAGAGAGAGGCTGATATGCGGCCGCTGAGACAGTAGCAAATGCTGCGCGCGCCCAGACTGTGATGTCTCAGCGTATTCAAGTCTGGAGATGAAAGCTTTCCCCTCGGTACGCAAATGCCCAAACACACACATGCACACGCTCGCTGACAGACACACAGAGGGTGAAATGTTTAATGGTTTTAGCAGGGCGCTGGAGAGGAAGCACTGGCACGGATTGGTTTCAGCGGGATTCTCCAGCTCCCCTATAAGAACCGACATCTGCAACCCTTCGACCACAATGCTAACAGCCAGCAGGGGTCTGTTCTAGTCCACAGACATAGAAATTTTATGAATGAAGATCTGTCCTGTCTGCAAGAGTAAACCATTTAGACAGATATAAAGTCGTGTCTTTGTAAAAGGCAAACGAAAGAGCATTTATCGTGATAAGTTTCCTGTCAGGATAAGAATTCCGATTTATCATTGTCACGATTAGGGCCAATTAGCGAAGTTTAAACCCCCAAAACTGTCAATTTTGTTTGGATTGCTAGTTTTGCTATTTTTCCCCCACTGTTTGTTCAATAAAAGGATTGATAAATATTAGTAAATCTGAAAGTGATCATACTGTGTGACTTTCATCAGTTATCACAAAAGTACCACAAAATATTGTGATAAAACTTTAAATCCATATCGCTCACCCCTAATGTGAGGTACACATAAATCACTGTAAACATCATGAGTCACTGAGTGATCGCAACTGTTAGGATGAAATTGTATTCTTGGAGCCTCTTTTTAAGAACCCCAGGGTTTCCTCCAGTGTATTATAAGCCTGGCGGGCCACCAAGCTTTACTTGAGCCCCCACCAGGCTGAGCATTGCTTATTTATTTAAGTCTTTTCAAAATGTTTGCATTTTTTAAGACTTTGTAGGTGGTGTTCATGTGTTAGTTTTTGGTATAACATTTTGAAAAACATGTATGATTTTCTTACACCTCAGCAATTATGATATTCTTCTTATGATTTGTTAAAGTAAGCTTTGCTATGAAGCGTTTTGGTGGCTGAATTTGTACTTGTTTAGTTCAAGTTGAAAATAAATCTTCACTAAGGTGATCTACATCTAATAGCCACTGAAACGGCATTAGATAAATGTTTGTGATCTGTATTGGCACACATACAGATTAGGTCCACAATCTGAAATTCTTAATAGTGAGCTATGGTGTCGTTATTTGTTACATTTGTTGTGCACAATAATACAGCCTCATCTTCCTTCCCACCCTCCAGGCTTTGCAGACAAACCTGAACCAGAAGTTGTCCATATGCAGCAAATTATGCTTTGCGATTGGCGCCGCTCCCAAGGAGGTGACGTCCAGCGCTTCAGCCTTCTTCCTGCAAATCTACCTGCTGGATGTTGCTCAGGTAAAGTCTTTGATCCAGTGAAATTTTTGGAGAGGGTGTGTCTGCAGATTACATTCTTGAGTAGTTAAGAAAACAAAAAAAACACAAGTCTGGCTTCTGAGCACATTCCTTTCTTCCACTGCAGATCAACCCCTTCCAGGCCTCCTTGGTGCTGTTCATAGGTAGAGTGTGGGGTGCTGTGACCGACCCGGTCATCGGGTTCCTCATCACAAAGAGCAGCTGGACAAAGATAGGCAGACTCATGCCCTGGTTAGTATATGTCAGTGTACTTATTGATGTTGAAGCTTAATTCTTTGGTCCTGCAGCTAAAATGCTGCTGTTTCCACACAGCCGAGTCTGTGCAAAGAACTCCAGTGTGTCGATGAATTATGAAAGATGTTTTGTTTTGCTCCCTCGCTCTCGCATATAATTACAGTTGCTGCATGAGGCTGATGTTTGCGCAAAAAAAAAAAAATGGAGCCATGTGTTCCACTTCTGAAGGATTTAAAACTCACACCTGAGGATTGTGGAAGATAAACAGACTTGGTGAATTGTTGTTCTTGACGCTCCCTCTGATTAGCGGTGCAGACGGTTTACTTAAAGGGTGTGGGCGGCTCTTTTACCCTTTGATGCTAGGAAACATTGGACTAAGAAGTTCATCCGTATTAGTTTTAACGCCTATTTTCCCCATGTGTGACCTGTTTACACGTGCGAGTCACTGACCTGGAGTACAGTAATTCGGGACAAAAAGTGCATCCGATATCCTTGAATGTATTTAAAACTAAATTTTCAATGTCGTCACGTTGCAAAAATAGTGGTCAAAGTCATATTTTCTGTGCCGAAAGTATATATTTTTTCTTTTCTTTAAGTCATGTAATGGCAAAATGACTTACACCTTACACTTATCCTAGGAAGCCGACAGAATTATATAGAGCATGTATTTACAAAAATTTGTACTTTCAATCATTTTTAAATGTAATTATTAGAACAAAGCATAATTTCAATAGTATTCTAATATTTATTCCGACGCAGCAGTATGTCCGTGCGTCAGGGTTTTGAGAAAATGTTACGTATGTCAACATTAGTGTGGATTATTTCATATTTACGTCAGCGTTCACACTAATCCCTCTACTAAAAATGATTTCTTTTCTCTCTGTCTTGTTTTCTTCGTTTTGGTAAGCTGCTAAGCATTTTCTGCGTGGCATTTCTTTCAATCACACTACAGCGTGTTTCTTCCTGTCGCAACGCAGGCGGTGTCCTTTATAAAACAGCGGATTGCACACAAACTGCCAGCGCTGGAGAGAGTCCAAATCCACTGCTGCCTGGCCCGACGCACTCAGCTACAGACAGATGCTGTTGGTAAATCAGCTTTGATTACCCATGGGAACGCGTAGATGAGGCCGTGCGTTTGTGCGAAACAAGCGCTTTTTCCTTTTTTTCTTTCTTTTTTTTTTGTCAGCGCAAGCTTTTATCCCGTTCGGAAAGTCCCGTCTGTCCATTCAGCAGGAAGCTGAACCTTTCCACCCGCCAGAAATTAAGTGATTTGTATCTTTGTCCTGACTTCTTAAGGATGGAGACTTTGGCCCCATCCTGCCTTCCCCTCCCCTGACAAGGCAATGTTCAGTATTTGTGACTGTTGGAAACTGCCATGAGAGCAGGAAAAAAGGGAGAGAGAAAACCTCATTAGCTGTTTTTCAAGATTATCTGCGTTCGAGAAAGAAAGTTAGAGGAAATGTTAGCAGTTGAAGAGTTATGCAGTAGAGAGGCACTGACTAAAGCTTATTCTATTAAGTAACAAAAAGAGTGTCATGTTATATGTATTGCTATGTGCACAAGTTACCAGTTGAAGAAACATATTGTCATTTACAAAAGACTCTTTTAGTCTGATGACTCAACCCGTCCATGTATATCTTTTGCAGAAGAATAACTTTCACACGTTCTCATTCATTTGGCTTGAAGAGCTCTTTGTCAACTAATCATGTCACACTATCTGGTATCTGCCTTTTATGGCTCACAAAGAAGCGCTCAAAGACAAGCTGTGAAGTCACTGCAACTAGTTTTAAATGATGATTGCATATATTGAAGGAAGAGAAAGCTTTCCCAAATCACCCCGTGAGAAAAAGGAGTTGATGTCTCAACTTATCGTCTGATTTTGACAGCCTAAGAAGCAGCAACTGTCATCAAATGTTTCTGTCAACAGGCAATTATAGTTTGACAACATAGAGGAGGAATTTTGGCACATTCCTCATTGCATTTTTGTTTTATTTCAGCCGCACCTCAGGACTTTGTGAGCATGAACAGACTGTTTAAGGTCCTGCAACTGCAGTCGCGTTAAGCTGTACTCAAGGATGAAAATGTGGTCGTCAGAAAAGCACACATCCGTTGTTGAATTATGCTTTTCTTCACCTTTTACTGCTGAGGTTCATGAGTTGAATAGTCTAAAATCCACCAAGAGTCCATTCTGATCCATAACACCGCATTCAAATCTGTTCTGTGCCGCTGCGCTACGTCTAATTAGCAGCCAGAAAACGTGAGTAAGATGAGAATTATCCATGTCAGTGTCCCATCAGCCCGGACAGCTTTAATTAAATCTGTGCAAATTACTGGGACAGGTGTCACCTTTTCTTCGTGCGTGACAAATGTGTTCAGAAAGTATGCGAGCGTTAGCGTGCGTGCGACTGTGTTGCCTCTCTGCCTGAGCAGGAACATTGTAACCCTCCCATCTACCACCACTCTCCTCCTGTTCCCCAGCCTTCCTGTGGCTCTTCCAGCGCTCCCACCGGCCAAGCGGTCAATAATGCAGCACCAGCGCAGGCGACCGCCTTTGTTTGCACAAGCAATCAGGAGGAGAGTCAGGCGGCCACGCCGGATGATGCCAGAAACAATCGTAACTGGCCTCTCTCCTCCCCCTTTTAATACTGTTAGCTGGTTGCTAGTTCAGATGGAGGTCTAGTTTCCATAAGTGTCTCTTTATACGTGTCTGCTGTTAAAGACTGCGTGACAAACTGCATTTTAAGTGCTGCCTCGTGTTTGCAGTCTCCGATGACCATCAATCATCCGGCTTTTTCCCCGTTACTTTGCAACGCGCAGCCGTTTGCTTTAACCGTAGCGATGCAGACAGTCATACGCCTATGAATTATACATGGCCCACCTACTGTATCACTCCCCAAGTTCTGAGGAAAGCACATCAGAGCGGAATCGCTTCATGCAGCTTTCGCCTTAGTGTGCGCTACATATTCATGAATCTGCGTGTGTAATTGCTAAATCTGGATATGTGCATGTGTGTAGGCGTGTATGTGTGTGTGTGTGTGTGTGTGTGTGTGTGTGTGTGTGTGTGTGTGTGTGTGTGTGTGTGTGTGTGTGTGTGTTCGTCCTTCCCCAAGGGGGTGGAATTTCTTTTACTTTTCTGTGTTTCCCAGGACAGATTCCTGCCATACTTAGAGTGATAGTCTGTAATTGGGCAAAAAGGAAAGCTTCAGTTAAACAGTGTTGTGAAAATGACAAAACCACATTTTTTTCGCCCTCTGCTGTGACTGGTGGTGATGCCCTGAATTTAATTAGATCCAAGTTTTCCTCTACCCTTGTGGAATTGCTCAGGGAGGGGTGATCATGGGAACTGCGCTGTTCAGTTCACGTATGTTTAAAGGATCTGGAGAAGATTTTGTGAGAGTATGGTGTACCTTGTTTATGTACTGTCTGGTCTTTGTATCCATGCTCCCTATTTGTGGTTTTCCCAATGGCTACTTTTTGTTCAGTGATCAACTGAAAGGTCTCAACAGAGAATTGGTGTAGTTAAAGTCAACCCACCAGAATTTTACTCCTCAAGGGACAGCTTGGACATTCATGGGAGGTTCATTTCTATACATTTATTGTTGATCTATGATTTGTGTAGGGTTGTGAACATCAGAATGGCACCTTTGATCAAGCAGAGTCATTCTGTCTCTGTGTCTTGTTCGTAATTGATAGTAGGAAGGAGAAGAAGACGGGGTGAGCAAAAGCGCAAATGTTATAGATAACTGGTTTGTCTTCTCATCAGAACCCCCCAAAATATTGGTTGTCCATGATCATATTATTATAACTATGTAAGGTTGGAGAGTCTGATTGTATTTACACCAGAAAAAGTCATTCAACACTGGAGCTTGTTAGACTATACATTTAAAGACGTTCAAAGTAAGGCCTAGTTAGCTCATTTCATCAACACAATCTTCCTTTCAACTACATTTAGACATCAGTGGATGTCTGTGTCTGTATGGATTTACCTTTGGATTTTGCTCCACCAGTAGCTTTACGTTTATGTCCATTCAAGCAACTGAGCAATTACCTTTGAAGGTTTTCCAGGTACTTCAGACCAATAAAAGAGTCTAGGCTAGACTTAGAACTTACTTAATGAACCATATCCTTTCTGGTTTGAGAATGCCTTGGGATCCTCTGCAAGCATTACCCACCTGGATAATGTCATCACTGTGATTTAATCTCATATAAGCGAAGAACAACGGACGGACCAAATCTCCCTTTCCCTTCACGTATCTCATCCACTGTTCTCGTTTTCTTTTCCTCCTCCCCCCACAGGATCCTGGGCTGCACGCCGTTTCTGGTGGTGTCGTACTTCTTCCTCTGGTTCGTTCCCCCCTTCGTCAGCGGCAGGTTCATCTGGTACCTGGTCTTCTACTGCCTCTACCAAACACTCATCAATGTGAGTATTCTTTGGAAACAGGATATTCAGGAATGTTTCAGACTGCCGAGCGATGTTCCACACGAGTCAGACGTGCCGTAGATGTTGAGAGGAAACAGGAGATGAAAGCCCTGACTGACTCGTCTCCCAGACTCTGCAGACAGGTTACATAACGTAGAAAACGTTGTAAATATCTGCGCCGAAGGAGGAGATGATACCGATTACCTGACGTCTTGGATGACTGATTTATTAGATAAGTTTCAATAGGGGGTCCAAAAACAAGACATGCTTAAAAATGTTATCTTGAGGGGAAAACAGAGTCCTTCCAATTGACTTCTGTTTTAATGTCTTTGGGTTAATTTTTTCCATTTCGCCCATTATTTTTGCTCTGCTCTGGGGTAACCTCTGTAACTTATGCCACAGAGCATTCAGACCACTGCAGAAACTGCGGTGAGCTGTTACAGCATATAATTCTAACTACTTGATAAGTATACAGTCATTCCTGCCAGGAACCTCTTGCCCGGTAAATACCAGTTGCCACTTTTAGCCGCCCTTCATTGTCTGTGGCCGTGTGTTTGTGTGAAGTTCAGCTGCTATCACTCAGAATGCCGCAGCCTGTAAACAGAGACTCGTCCGCTACGCTTTGTTTGTGTGAGCAATCAACTAATAATGGGTTTTCACTAAATGAATCGCTTCTCACTTCTAAGTCAAAAAAAAAAAAAAAAGGAGCGAAACCTGATTGATTCTATAAATGTTTGCGTCCAGTGAAAGCCCCGTAAGTGACATGCTCCACAAACACCGAGGACAAAAAAAAGAAAAAGCTTTCGCGGACGCATTTATTTTCGTTGTTGGCTGAGCAGGCTCATTTGGCCACAATGCTGACTGAGCCCTTGAGTAAATTACAAAGTGAAGCTGGACTACGGCCGCTGGGCTATTCTCTGGGAGACGTGGTGAGGAAGAAGGGAAACCGATCTGAACTTGGCCCGCCGTGGAAAATGCAGAGATCGCCTTTGATAAATATACAGCAGACACTTTTGCGCTCGTGTTTTTCTCCGAAACCTGTCGGATGAAAAGGCCGTCCGGTCTGTCATTCGGAAGCCACTTTGTTTACGTGGCTATTTAAAGCAGGACTTGAGCATGAAAACATTTTGCATTCGTTGAGCAGAAGTAATAACCTTTTCACAGGGGCAGTCATAAAGTACAACTGCCTCTTGTTCTCACAGTACTAAGTCTCTCTGTGTCCTCCTTTCTTGCTTGGCTCTTCTCCAGTTCCACCCAAACCGTGCATATAAATTGCACTCTCACCGTTATGCAGTCCTTTGTCGCCTTGATCTGAAGAGGAAGCAGGGATGGCATTTCTCAGTCAAAGAAAGACTGGCATTCCTAACGTGTTGCGGCTTGTTATTCACAAATTGGCGGCACCTGAATGAACAGTTGTTTACTTTTCAAGCCGTGCACTAGATTCAGTTCAGTTCGTTCCTAATCAGTTCAGATCAGTGTGAAAGAATGATTTGTTGAATTAAATTGAATCCAAATGTGTGTCTGTGGTTCAGTTCAAATCAGCTTGGTTTCATGCAGCTCAGTCCTGTTCGGTTTAGTTTAGCGGAGCTCAGTTTGATTCACCTTGGTTTCAATTCAGTTCAGTTCTCTTAAATTCGGTTCGTTTCAGATTGGCTTCAGTTCAGTTTGGTTAAGATTAGTTCAGTTCAGCTCAGTTTCATTTTAATTATTTCACCCGGTCCAGTGGATTTCAGCTTGGTTCTAAGCCATCCAGTTCAGTTTGGATCAGCTCATTTTATTTTATTTGAAATTAATTCGGCTCATTTCAGTTTATTGATGTTTTCTTCAAAGCTACAGAAAAAAAAACCCCTCAGGATTCTCCAATTGTCAATTTAGCTTAATTGATGCATTTTCTTAAAGAAGTTGTGTAATCAGTTTGATCCCTGGTTGTGAGGAAGGTCAGTGGAGATGAACGATTCCCATTAAGCAGCTCTGGGAGAGTCAGATGGCGCAGCCATCAGGATCAAAAAACTGCTAACTTGCAAAATGTCCATCATAGTAAACTTAAAAAAAACCTTGAAACTGTAACTGTTTTTATCTACATTTTAATTTAGTTTCGGCTAGAAGTAATCCATTGGACCTCTTTCAAGACCTCTGACTCACAGATCTAAAACGTAGGGCGTAGAACAAACATAAATACAAAAAGTTGTCCTTTTTATAGCTTTCACTTACATTGTCATGTTTTGCCTTTGGTTAGTTGCTCCATCGTGGCAAAGTCTTTCAGATTTGTTTTGTTGCTGTAACAGAATCCATTATTTCTGATCAGCCCGAGTCCTAACTGAACGCTTTGTGTCCTTGCAGTGTTTCCACGTGTCTTACTCTGCTCTCACCATGTTCATAAGCACAGACCAGAAGGAACGGGACTCGGCCACGGCTTACCGTAAGCTTCCTCTACTATTCCGACCGCATGCTTCCACCTCCGCCGCGTCGGCGGCGAAGCATGACGTCGTCTTTGTTTTGGGGTTTTCGACAGGAATGACGGTGGAGGTGATGGGGACCCTTTTGGGCGCTGCCATCCAGGGCCAGATCGTGGCCAGCGCTCACACTCAGAAGCATTGCTCTCCTCACAACACGTCTGCTGGTTACCTTGGAAACAGCACCGGGGCAGAGATGAAGAGTCTGGTGCCGTCCCAGGAGTACCTGTCACAAGCTGTGAGTGTCTCTCGAGAGCTCAGGTGTGGCTAAAAATGGGGCAAAGAGTCGGTTTGAAAATAACGAGGGCTGTCACCGCCGCGCTGTGGCTCGAACCTGTGGTGGCGGTGTGTGTGTGTGTGTGTGTGTGTGGTGTGTGTGTGTGTGTGGTGTGTGTGTGTGTGTGTGTGTGTGTGTGTGTGTGTGTGTGTGTGTGTGTGTGCACTCTACTTTCAAAAGCGCCAAAAGGGTTTAAAAAAAGAGGGAGACAGCAGACAGTTGAATGAAAAGAAAGATTGTTTAAAATTGGCTCCGTATTTACTGACTGTCTGGTGGTTCTGACGCTGGAAATATGTTCACATTTTATCCCGTCTAACCCACGGGACTGAAAGGAGGCGGCTCCGTTTGATATCTGAACCGGCGTCCCCGGCCTGCTCCCCGTTTACGACCACAAAAAGGGGGTTCCTCCCTCACATCAGGCTCCAAGAAGCAGCCCCAGTGAACTGCCGGGTCTCGGCAGCCTGCAAGTCATTAGACTTATTTATGTTTCACACAGATCATTTCAACACACCCCAGATATAGTCTGCAAACAATAAAGTCTGAAAGCATTCGTACCCCTGACACTTCTTCATATTTTGTGAAACATAACAGTCAATTGGGATTTTGTGTGATGGGCCAGCAGAATCTAATGATTGGGAGATGGAAGTAAATTATTATTATTATTATTATTTAGGTTTTTGAAAGGGAAGGGGGGTAATGATGCATTTATGTGGAGTTGGAGAGAAGATGTAGGGCAGTGGTGTCCAAGCTTTTGCATTTGAAAGCATTTGTGGAGTTTTAGAGGCCACAAAAACTCTGGTGGCTCTTTTGAGTAAAAGTCATTAGAAAATCAAAATAAAGTTAAGATAAAAACCTGGTACATAAATCAGAAATTACTTGAGTTGTAGCCAAGAGTTATTTCTTTTTTTTTTTTTTAAGAAAAAGTGTCCATCCGCACCAATTGAATAACAGGCGGGGAATGTGCAGAATTCTTTAGAGAGCCACAAATGGCCCCTGCGCCACACTTTGGACACCCCAGATGTTGGGGGCTAAACACCATAAGATGCTGGAAGAAAATCTGTTAGAGACCACAAAAGACATGAGAATCACCTTCCAGAAGCAGAGAAATCCAGATCTTTATGTGAATGGTTATCAATAAATTATTACATTTCTGGAATGGCTCAGTCAAAGTCCAGACTTAAAAAATCTGCTGAAAAGTTTGAAACTTGCTTTTCAAGCGCAAACTTTATGCAATTTGATTGAGTTTTACAGCTTCTAGACTTGCAAAGCACACAGAAGTGTAACCCTTTAGACTTCCAAATGAGTCATGAATAATGCATGCCTCAGAAATTCGATTTTTACTTGTAGAACATTTTCATATTATTTCTCTTCTGCTACTGCACTTTGTGTTGGTATATCACAAGAACTCCCACAAATATATGCGAAAGTAGAGACAAAATACGGACCGTCTGTTGTCTTGTTATTGTAGGTCGCACAGCAAGACGACATGAACGATATTTCAGTTTGTAGATGTGCGCATCAACACAAGCTGCTGAACAGCCTCAGCCATGGGAGTTTCTGTGCGGATGAAACGTCCTGAGTTGGATTTTATTTGCACCACAGCTATTTGGGTTTCAAATAAGACCTTTCCAGTGGATTTTGGGTGAACCCTACTGGGGCAATACCGCTCACCGCTCCTACCCCCTCTGCAGTCAGCCGCTAAATTCAACCCTCCTCACCCCCCGTCTTTGTGGTCGCTGCTGAGGGTGGCACACAGTCTGGGCAAACTCTGTCTGCTTTCGGAAACAGGGAGTGTTTGATGTGCGTAAATAATGAAGAACCATCAAGCCGAGCCGCACGGCAAAATAGCAAACAAACACCAAGTTGTTTAAGGCAGAGCAGTTCCTGTCACGGCGGGGGTGAATCGGTTATATCTGTATTTTTGGACGCAGGTCTGCTTGGGTTTGGTTTCCTTCGGGTCGGCTCTGTTTGGATGCATCAAACCAAGAGTGAAACCCTGCACAGAAAACTACCGACAACAAGTCAGCCGCTTGTGACTGACAACAAAGAACCGAAGAGCACAAGTTTCTCTCGTTTCCATTGCTAATCAGGAGACTATCAATTATGAAGAACCAAACAGGCTTGTTTGTACTACTTCTGTGGAAGAAAAAAAAAAACAGAAAAAAGAAATAGACAGATGTAGGCCATGCAATGTGTTTGTTCCGTCTCTGCAGGAGGAGCTCTACTTGATTGCTGCGGGTGTGATAGGAGGAGTGTTCGTGCTGTGCACTGCGGTGATGTTCCTGGGAGTCAAAGAGCGGGAAGGTAAGATCACCCAGATCATTAACATTCCTCAAATGATTTCACTTCCGCACGCCAGTATTACATTTGTTTATAAAGAGCATTTGAAAAGGATTGTTGACGAAGACGCTTTACGGTTTCACCACAAAAAGAGCATACGGAGTGATATTGTAATAAAATAAAACACAATCTATCAGGGCTGCAACTAACAATTGTTTAAGTCATCGATTATTCCGACGTTTAATCGGTTGATTGGATAAAAACAATTGGCACATTTTGAAGGTTTATCATTTGAACCTTCTTTTATACAAAAAAATCCATAAAAAATGCAAATGAAATAATTAAATCAATTTCTTGAATAATAAAATAAGATTTTAATTGACAAATGTGCAATAACATAGCATTCATTAAGTAATTATTTCTTGCAAGTTACGCAGTCACAATCAATCAATGCAGAAATCAATACAGAAAAATAATTATTTTTAGATTAACCGACTAATAATTGAATAGCAAAATGTGCTTAATTGGAGACTTTTTCTTAAAGCATTTGAACCAAGTGAAGCTAAAATGTTTTTACACATAGACATAGATTTTTAAAAATATTTTAACTGAAAAATGCATGTACGTTTTGCACAGTTTTGGTTTAATTAGTGATCTGAATATATTGTTCTTTTATCTTATGTTCATTTCTTTAGAGTCTTTCTGCTCCGGTTAATGATTAATCGATTATGAAATTAATTGACGATTATTTCGATAAATTAATTGACGATTATTTCGATAATTGATTTGTGACGATTAATTGTGATAGCCATGAAACACTGGGCTAATTCAGCTTTTGGAACTTGGCCTGGAAGCATATCCTGGTGGAGGAAATAAAAAAATGATAATTTTTTGTGCACAAAAATGTTTTGAAATTCCCCACAACATATTTTTTTATGCATCATGTTCGATAATCGAATTTTTAGACATTTCACTGCTTTCCTTAGACTAACAAACTAACAGGAGCTCAAATTATTTCGGAAGGGCAGCCAAATGCTTATTATGATGGCTCAGAGAGACACAAACCTTACCCACTGCATTGCAGGGGCAGTTCCAGTAGTCCTACCGAGCAAATCTATCGCCTTTCATTTACTGCATGTTATCTGATAGGCTGTGTGTATTTATCCCCCATCTTTCAGATCCCTACGGCCCGAAGACGGAGGAGCAGATTCCCTTTGTGCAGGGCTTCCTCAAAGTGATGGGACATGGGCCGTACATCATCCTGACAGCCGCATTCCTCCTCATCACTGTCGCAGTTCAGGTAATCGTCTCGGCGAGACATTCATACGACCCAGCGTCGCATTAAGCAGAAGCCGTCATGAGCGCTGACAGCATGGGCGCATTCCTGCCGCTCCGTCTCGTTTGATCTGTGCAAAAGAACACCTTCCGTATGTTTGTGACTTTGAATTCCTGGTCTCCTCTGGGCGGTACTGACAGGGCTTGTCGTGCGGCTCAGCTGGCATCTTTTCAGAATTTAGATTATAAAGAAGACTTCCCAAACTTTCTGGATTGTTTTTTTTTCCTTTCTTCTTCTTTTTTTTTTTTTTTTTTTTTTTGTCAGCTGTCATCCGTGTGAGTCTCAGAGGGGAGTAAATCACAACAGAAAACTCCCGTCAGCAACTTGTCCAGTCTTTGTACCGTCGACTGTACCACATATCTGAATTTCTGAATGTCCCCTCTCTGATTTCTGCAGCTGACACAGAGCAACTTCGTGCTCTTCTGCACCTACGCTGCCGGATTGAGGGAGCACTTCCAGAACATTGTGGTGCTGATCCTCGTGAGTCGCCGGATTTACTTCCTATTTGCGTACAAGATCGATCTTGCAGCACAACACAAAACAAAAGAAGCTCCTATTTTCACAATTCTAACTTCCAGACGATGCAGAGTCTCAGTTAGAATAAAATTTTTGAAGTGTTTCACAAGTCCTCTACTTCGTCTCGTCGCCCTACAGGTCTCTGCGCTGCTAAGCATACCGTTCTGGCAGTGGTTCCTCAAGAGATTTGGGAAGAAGACAGCGGCTTTTTGTGGCATCACGGTAAGCATCCTGGTTTCGGTTTTCCGACGTTGAACTTGGTTGTTTGGGCCATCTTGCGGGTGTGCCAGATCCAGCTTCTGCAGTCACATAAACGCATCTTTTTGACCTCACGTGCAAACGTCTGAAAACACTTTGCTTGTTTGTCTCTGTAGTGGATCATGCCCTTCTCCATGATGCTGGTGTTCATCCCTAACTTGGTGGTGGCTTACATTGTGGCGGTCTCCTCTGGGCTCAGCATAGCTGCGTCGCTGCTACTGCCATGGTGAGGCCTGTTGGAACACATCCCCCATATTACTACTGTGTCCCGATTGGGATTATTTTTTTTTTTCTGCTCCGAGATGCCGATGAGAGTCGCTTTAAACCATTTGTGCCCCGATTAGACACACTAAAGTCCATTAAAAACAGTTCTGAATTTGAAGGATGGAACAAAAATTGATCAAAAACAGTTTATTATTCTTCTTACATTTAGCAAATAGGCGTTTCGTCTGATTAAAAGTTTGACAATAAGAAAAAAATGGTTTTATTTGGAAATATCTGGTTTCAAACATATGACCAACTTCACACATACAGCTCATCAGCTATACATTGTTCCCATTGTTTTGATGTGCAACACGAAACTGGAATGCTAGGCTAATGCTAGGCTAATGCTACAATGCTTCGTGTCTTGTTGCTAGCTCGGCTCATAGCAGATTTCAAAGGGGTCCCAGTTAATTGTGTGAAAGCAAAATTTTCTCCTGTTTCATAAAATGATCGCCTTGCTTTCGATGTCATAACCATGAACTAGCAGTGTTTCAGTCTAATGGTACAGAGCAGACAAGAAGTGTCTACCTCACTTTGAGCATCACTCCAAAGTGCAAACATCTCACTAGCTGCAAGATATGGTTTGAGAGTCTAATCATTTTTTAAAGAAGTTGGGTTTATCACCAGATAGACCTTTGTGTCTGTAGGCGCTCTTGTGTTAATGTCTGCAAGGCAGCAGTCATCTGCTTCTCTCCCATATGAAAGAAACGTTAATTTAATTAGAAACTTTCACCTATTTGCCCATCAGCACCACAAAGCTGCCCATGTTAGCTGAAACAGTCATTAGCATCTTGTTAACGATGACTTGGTGCCCCACAGGACTCCATCCAATTACCCACTTCATGTCACGAAAGTGACGTCAGTTGAAAAAGAAAAGACAGGAGATGCGGTGTCTGCTGTAAATCTTTCGCGCCATCACAGGCCTCCCACAACACAACTCCGGAGGTATCTTTACATCTGCCTCCCAGACGCTTCCTTGGTTGTCACGGCGTAGCACTCGTCTCTTTTCCCCTTCCTTTTATCTCAAATTGTAGCCTCCCAAGAAGGGGGCATGTTTACATTGGAAGGGGCCAAATGTTTTTTCTGCCTGTGGTCCAGCAATTCCACCTGCTGCTCATCATCTGATCGCGTCATTAGCTCTGTAATTTTAGCCACCCACCGTTGTATCGGAGATCCTAAAGTTGGCATCACGTAATGATTTGCTGACATCTCTCACGGTTTTGTGAGGAAATAAGATAAGAGGATTATCTTAAAGTTTTGCCAACTGCTTGAGTTACTTTGGGCCTCTAAGGGATTCTCCCAATTTCCATCGCAAGACACTCTTTTCATAGCTTCATCTTTATTTTTGTGTGCATTCAATCCAGGTCCATGCTGCCAGATGTGGTGGATGATTTCAGACTGACCAACAGCTCCTCTAAAGGCCATGAAGCCATCTTCTATTCGTTCTATGTTTTCTTCGTCAAGTTGGCTGCTGGCATCACCTTGGGAGTGTCCACTCTGTGCTTGCAGTGAGTCTCGCAGTAGTACACCCGTAACACGGTTGTTTGATGTTTCAGGGTGTAGCGGAACATAATCTGGTCCTTTCTAAGTCTTAAAGAATGTCAAACATCAGATCTTGACATTTATTGGACTAAACCTAAGCTTGTATGCAGAAGCAGTGTGTGTAAAAATCAAATACATCAAATTTTCCAATAGCCTATACAATCATATTTGACACCGATGCCTAAAAGTAATCATTTCGGTTGATCTTCATTGCATGTTTGTTTTTCTCCAATGAGACCTTGAGTTATGTCCAGAGATCTCAACTTTGATGAAAACATTTTGTAAGATCTTTTAGCATTTTTTGAAAGTGTTTTGCCTTTGGAAGAGGTTGAGAGAGGCTAAAACTTTAATGTAGCAAAATGTTGCCCAAATTCTTTGCCACTTGGGCCAAAATCATCAAGTCATGGCATATTTTTTGGTGCAACACACCATGGGCCAGTCACCATTTAAGTTTTCTTAGCATCATTGTTCTACATCTGTTCCTGCATCTAAACAGAACCTGTACATCTTCATAGGTTTGCTGGGTACAAAACCCGCAGCTGCTCGCAGCCCCCTGCTGTGGTGTACACCCTCAAGCTCCTGATCGGCGCCGCACCCATAGCCTTCATTGTCACGGGGTTAATGATCCTGGTTTTGTATCCCATCAACGAAGACGTACGGCGCAGGAATAAACTCTGGCTGGAGGAGCTACGGTGTGTAGAAATCATTAATGCACAACTGCGGGAAAAGCTCTAATCCTTCGACTCTGTCCTTCCTTTCAACCTCCAAACTGTTGCAACCTTGTTGCGAAAGACTTTCTTTAAAAAACAAAACAAAAAAAACTGGTGAGAGGGGGTTTAGAAAATGCTGCTGTAATCTGGTGGCAGTACCAAAGTGATCCGCCAATGTAAATACTCAGGGGGACTCCAGCTATCTTAAAGATACAGCATCTGAACACATGTAGTTAGATTAAATATTCGAGGTTCATGGGCTCTCAACTTCCTGCTTTTCCTCTATTTCTTCATCAACCTATTCACAACACTTTGCAGTGACAAAACAAAGCAACTCGCAGCATATTTTTGTGTTAAAAGTCAAAAACATATTTCTTCTGTAAGTTTTCAGATTCCTCACTAGATCTTTTGGTGACGTCAATTGCTTGGGGGCGTTTCCAATTCCTCCAATTAGAAGAGCTCAGACAAATATCAAGGGTCAAAAGTGCCACTGTCCAACAAATAGATAATAAGTATGTTGAACAAATATGGATACATATCTAAAAAAAATGACAGGAATGTGCCATTAAGTCATCCAAGTCAAACAACTGTTGGGGCATAAATAGTTTTCAACATGTTATTTGGTAAAAAGTGAGTAAAATATAAAAAAATCATTTTGCTTCCGATGACAAAAAAAAACAAACAAAGAAAAGAGGTGAAATATCTCACTTGCTGTCACACACAAAAAAAACAACCTTTGGCTTAATGAAAACAATTTCAAATCTAAATGTGTACATTTGTTGAATTGTGGTGCTTGTTAGCCAGCTCTGAAGAGGTGCATGAGTGCACTGCCATTTTTTTGGCCTCTCTGGAGATACCTGCGTGGTCAAATGAATCCTCTTGTTTGAATGCAAACCGAGATTGTGAGCGATGTGGAAAGGACTTCTCTGTTTTTCCTCCATTTGACTTTCCCTGCATTCTGACTCGTCTCCGAACTTGTCCCGAACAAAGATCCCCATGTCATGAGTTCACTTTAGGAGTTTTAACTAGGAACAGCTAAATCTTGCTGTAAGCTGTGGCCAAATAACTCTTGTAGATTGATGAAGAAAAAAAAAAAAAAAAAAAAATGTTTACTTTCTATGATACGAATGTAGCACTGATACTGATGTCTCTCGCAGGAAGCAAAGCATTGACTCCGAACCTACGAAGATTTAAGTAACGTGTGAGCAGGATGTTGGAGTGAATTCACAAAGCCACGGATTCCAGTCATGAGGCTGGGATGTTGCTCTTTGGTGTATATTACACTGTCAAATATGGAAATAGTTTTAATGTAAACATTTTTTTGTTTTACTGCCACACATACTGTATAGTCATCTTGAATATATAAACATATAAATGATTTATATAAATGAATGTATATTATATGCTGTGTTTAACTCTACGCTGTTATTTATTTACGGTACATAATTACAGAAGGATTGATGACAGACGATGAATAAATGCCGTAGAGACGGGATGGGACCAAATCAATTTCTCTTGTCTTTCTTCAGTGTGAAGGTGTTGCAATTAAACGTAGGGGGCGGGGGGGGGTCTCGTTGTACGAAGATGTGTTTATTGGTAGTCAACATTTCACATTATGGTATAAAAGAAAGAACACCCTCTTTCAATTCTGGAGTTTTATCCATAAGAACAATCCCGCCGAGGAGCCAGAAAAGTAAACGCAATGCAGTGTTTGATGGGTCGTCGACGAGGAAACTCCCTCTAACCAGCTTGTCGACGCAATGCAAAGGTAACAGCAATGATTGTAAAAAAGCAATTGTTGCCGTCCGTCAATCTAGAAAGGGTTAAGGCCATTCTCATCTCAGATTTCTTTTTACAAATGCAAAGTGTTTTAGGCAGCTGACATTTTCTCCTCCTGTGAATTTCTTTGAAAATTCACTCCAAAGGCACAGCAAGTTGCGTAACGTTTAGGAAAAACTGCAAAAACCCAGGAGCTACATCTTCTCCACTGGGTTTACTTAGCATGTCAAACCGTACATTTCAAGACAATGTGACCTAGATGAAGATGGCTGGCTTGTTCGGATTGGTTGACTATGAAAAACAGAATTCTTAACAGAAATTAGCAGGAAAAGTTGAGCCGATAAGCCGTAAAACCTTTGGAACAATGTCCTATGAACAGATGGGACCAAAGTGCAAATGGTCAATCCTCCTTTTGATTGAAATACCGTTGACGGACGTGAAGTGAGCTGGCGGAAACGAATGGCTGTGAACACTACTTGTAATATCGAGAAAAACAAGTCTGCAGTTCTCAACAATGAGAAATCGACTTTAAGTCTGGCTTGAATTATGGGGTATACTTAGTTTCACACACACATCTTTGTATTTTGATTGACTTTTTCACACTTGAGGTTAGATTTACATATTTTTGCAATAGCAAAGAGCACATGTATTGGATGTCCTTAAGAGCAAAACCATATGACTGGATTGTTGCTTTGTATTGAACAGACTATGCAGTTAAGAGAATTGGTGGAGTGTTGCCCTCTTGTGGTCAGTTTTCTTACTGCCATCAACCAAGAAGATAAAACAAATGGTTTTGTTTGAATGTTTAAAGAGCCATATTACACCAAAAAACAAATCTGTCTGGAGCTGCAAAAAATTTAAATCCTTATATATAATGGAGGCAACACAGGCTTTAAGTGTTTATATGAGCTATTTTAGCCTATTATCAAAACAACTAAGTGCATAAATTCACAATTAAATGTTTATTTTCCCGGCAGTGCGTCCTGGAACGAATGATGCACCACGTTACTGTTGTACGATGGTGCTTTAAGTTTACAATGTGAATGTATTATGTTTCGTTGTATTGATAAAATTAAATAAACGCAATAAAGTAATCAGATTTTTGATGTCACTTTATTATGAAGATTCGACAGGGAAAGATGTATTTCGTTTTGGAACTCTAAAAAACTTCCCAAAACAACGATCGCTCCTTGTAAATAGTCACGTTATCTGGGCAACAAACGGAGTGCAATAAAACGCAACCTGCAGTTATAAAACTAAAACAGTTGCCTTTTGAAAAGATAAAGCATTTCAAATTCAATGAATACAGTTTCAGCTTGATTAATGTGCAAATGCAAAGCAAGTCAGTGCAATGATAAACCACAGCGGCATCCTCTCCTCTTTTGACACCCGGCCGTCCTCAGACCTGAGGACGTTAAACACAACAATATCGCAAAGTGTCATTCTAAACATATACAGACAAAAATCACCAATTAATTTATAAAAACAACCACTTTGCTACTAATAAGCGACTATGGCATGATTTGTTCTGACGTGTTTCACGTGATGCCTGCTTCTCAACATCGAGCACTGAAGATGTAACTTTAATCTTGACTTGGCAGCTAATGTCTTTCCACATTACCGTATTTTTCGGACTATACAGCGTTACTTTTTCCCTACACTTTGAACCATGCGGGTTATACGTGTACGTTTACTCTTTTTTTTTTTTATTGTAGATGCGGCTTTTATTAAGGTGCGCCCTATAGTCCGGAAAGTACGGTAACCTTTTTGTTATTTGACCGCTTCTCGCTACAGAGCAAATGTTCACCTGCCTCGCGCCTCTGTCCAGCTGAAAGAAACGTCATGTTCGCCCTCCTACAGAAACCATATTGAAGCAAAAAATATATATTTAACGCCATCTTTTTCCATTTTCAGACATTTTTGAAACGCTCTGGGGAGCCACTAGTGAAGCAGTTAAAGATCCAGAGCCGTGGGTTCTCAACCCCGTGTTAGACATTCCTAATTTTTCCGGTATGACATTAACAGTTTTATATTTGAGGTTAACCGCAAAGCAGAAAAGTGAAATTTCAGACATTTTAGGAGTAAAATGTCTGAATCTGAATCTTATACTTCTTTGGGAGAAAATTACATAACACTGGCAGGGGACACATCTTGAATAGCTTATAATTGCACTCTAGAACTATAGCTTTTTGGGGAGGAAGACTATAAAGACCGAATGAAATTTCATCAAAGAACCAAAATATTGGATCTTTTTAAGGTAATCTCTTTTTAAAGAAGCAATATTTAAATATAGCATCTGAAAGAGCAACTCTTTAGAAACCAATTAGTTTTTTCTTACTATAAAAATATAATTTGCAGCATGAACAGTGGGTTTCTGTGGCATTGAAGTCACAGGTTCGAAAGTCAAAGAGAAACACGACTACGAGAGTCTGTACAGGTGAGTCGGGAGCTACTACACGGATGCCTCTGCAGTCGTTGCCGGGCTTTGGCTCAGGGCTGGACTGGATGGACAGGAATTCTCTGGACTTCCAGGAGTCCGGAGGGTAGATTTCCTCTTGCCGTTCCGCACCGTCAGTTCGTCTTTGGGCTTAAATGTCAGAGGCACGAAGCCGTCAGCGTCTGCAACAAGTACGATCCACAGCGGTCCTGGAAAATAAATATACAAGACTGTTAGCGTTCCATGCTAACAGTTGAAAAGAGGAAATCCTTCGAAAAGCTGCTAAAAAGTGCCTGACATGATACGGGCCATCAGTTCTCTTAAATCCGCAATGCAGCAGAAGCCTCACAGATTCAGTCTTCTTAAAAGTGACAATATCAGTCATTTGTTCACTGATTTGATGAACCATTCCAACAGTTAGTTGGTAAGACAAGATAGATGTGATTTTAGGCAACGGTCCTCTTCATAGTTATAAGCATACTTTGCTGTCTTTTCAGTAGAAACTACAGCGCCTAGAACAAAAGAACAAACTAATTTTCATCAGCTCTTAAAATGTGCCATTTCTCTTTAGGCCAGTCCATGTGTTCTTTGGCAAACCTCTTCCCCACGTCATTTTGTTTTTGGCAATGGTCATTTGTGGAGGTATCTTGGCCTCGCTGCAAAACCAACTGCCAGGCCGAGTTAACATGAGTTGGTTCATCAGAAGAAAATAACCAAACAAAAACAAAACACTTTGCCTATCAGGAATGATAAGCTGCTTTTGTTTTAAACCCTGTAATCTGATCTCGCCGTCTAATCACTTCCAATAATAGCTGAGGCACGTTAACAGAAGAACAATATCAGTGTGAGGTAACAATTAACTCTTTGAAAAGACATTCTTTATTCTTTTGTTGGTTGTAGCAGAAAGATGAAGTGTGAAGAGAGTTGGCCCAGATAGTAAAACCACCCAACTGCTCCTGGTCAGTAGGAGGAAGCCCATTGAACGAGGTTTCCTGAACTACACGCAGCGAGGAACCTACCCAAGAAGACTGAGGAGTTTCCTCCTAGTGGTTTCCACTGATTAACTCTGTACTCTCTGTCACAACATGATTAATCTTACGTGCTATGAGACACAGAGGACTTTCAAGACCATTTCTGGTTTTACAGTAAAACCAAAATACAAGCATTACGCCATTAGGTAATGGTAGTTCTATTCTTCTTCACATACCATACATCATCTCCACAGCGGTAAGGTTGAAAAGGTCTTGGATGGCACGCAGGCACAGCTTCCCATCACACAGAAGCACTGGCCTCCTCTCATCGATGAACACATTCTCCGATAACTGCTTCTGCGTGTGCCAACACAAAGTCAAAATCAGTACCAGCTCTTGTATAAAAAGTCAGATGTCAAAATAAGGTTGTAGTTATTGCGTAGGACAATGGGTAGACAAGATGTGCCGAGTAAGGACTAAACGACTCACTACATTACCTGGCATGTAACATTGACATACGGGGGATCAGTTGCGTTGGGATAGACTGCTTGGGCCTTCTTGCCATTCTGCGTATAATCTCTGATTTCTGTCAGGCACTGTTGTACATCTGCGAAGCGTGTAAAAAGCCTTTCCATGTTGTGAACAAGCTGTTCCAGGGATCGCTCCCTGGTCTGTCCGGATGTCTTCTCAGGCATGGGTAGCGTTGGCGGCTTCTCCGATGGCTCGAAGCGAGGAGAACTTGCCCGGCTGGAGTCTCTGCTTGCCTGGCCTCCTACTGCCAGGCTGGCCATCCGATTGACGTGGTCTATGTCAAAGTTCTCGACCGTGATGGACGAGGTTCTGGACGAGGCTCTTTCTTGCCGCTCAGAAAGGTCTACGAAGGTGGTGACGGGGCTGGGTTCGTTGCTCCTGATCTCCTCGACAAGCCTGCGTCTGCTCCCTGGCGAACAAACTACCCTTCCAGGCAGAACCAAGTCTTTTATCCCTGGCCGTTCCCTGTCATCCTTTGACAAGTGCTCTGAGTGCCTCCTAATCCCTGCGCAGAAAGTAGAAGACTCATGGTTGAGAGCAGAGGGGGATGGTGCAATAGCTGATTCTCCGTCGTATATTAGCTCTTTGGATATGAGGTGAAGAATATATTTGTCCGTGTTGGAAGACGGAAGGAAGGCAGGATCGGTAGTCTTCTGCCTGCCCACCATCAAAAGCAGTACCTTGTCACTGAGGAAGCAGACGCCTTTGGGTCTTTCGTTCTGCTGCAGAGAAATCTGCTGGATGTTGGGCATAGCAGAAGGTGTGATACAGTAAACAAGAACCATGTTGCAGGCATTGGAAGCAACTGCAACTGTGGAGGCACGAGGATCAAAAGCAACAATATCAGGGACCAAAATCCCTGGAATGCTGACTTTGCGGGTTGTAGTTACCTTCCGCTCATATGTAACCAGAACGAGGTGTGAGCTGTCCTGTCCAGAACCTGTCACAGTGTCTCTGCGGCGCAAGTGAATAAGAGGGCTGGGGTCCGAGCGACGGTGCTTCGCCAGGAGATGGGTAAGATCAAAGGGGCCTGAGTTGGGGATGTACGATCTCTCTGACTCAAAAGACCTCCGTCTTGAATCCAGAATGCCATCATCGTCCACCATGACTGCATGCGAGCCCGGTCCTTGCAGGGTCTCTGTCTCTGTCGGCAGGTCAAAAGCTATCCCGGAGTTTAGTCCACATAATTTATCAAGCGGTAGCTCTGTAGCCACAGCTACCTGAGCTTCCCCGGTGGCCTCAATTGCACAGATGTAGCCCCCCACGTCAAAGATAGGGCAAAAAGTGCACGCCACCAGGCTTTTCTGGATGTCACTCCAAATGAACGAATGCAGAGCACTGCCAATAGCCACCACCAGGCGGGTGCCATCCTTAGTCCAACAAGCACAGTGAATGAGCCCACTACCTTTGATGTCTGCTTTGATCCTCCTGTTGTCGACCCTGACAGAAAACAACACGGACGTATCTCGCTTCGTCAGCACAGCCAGCATGTCCAGTTTAGGATGCCAGACGCAGCCTTGAGAAAGCAAGGGAAAGGGCTCACTCATCTCGCAGGTCTGCGTGCACAGCAGCTTGTTCTGCTCAAGAGCACTGAGCTGAAGCTGCCACACCGTAACATGTTTCTTATGCTGGACAGCCAGAAGAGCAGGGGAGTCCGAGCAGCACAGTGGGCCCCAGAAGAGTCCGAAGACGTGCTCAAACTGCCCGATGACATTGGTGTCTCCAAACTTCACCTCGCCATTGATGAAGTAGAGAGCAGTCAAGCAGACCTGCTTTCCATCTGTCCAGGCGATCCCGTGCACAGGGTGGATGGCTTGGTGTAGAGTGTTGAGTCCACTCCTAAGCAGCTTTGCTTTACCAAGATCCATCCTGAAAGGAAGAAAAAATCTTAGATGAAGACAAAATTATATGTCTCAAAAAAGAAGCATTGATGACAGAGACCTAGCCGAGTTACTATTTGAACAAGGGTAGCTATTGCTACCTGTGCAGATTAAGAACAGCAAAAGCCTCTGCTGTGTCTCCTCCCAAGTACACGCTTTAATCCCCCTCTGCCTGAGCTGAGGCTGTCGTGACGAACACCTACAGCTGCTTATGCCGGATGACCTTAACAATGTAGTTAGGAGCCCGGGGTATTAACAATGTTGTGTTAAGTGGGTCACCACAGTGTCTTTTTTTTTTTTTTTTTAGATATGGTGAAAGTTAGTAGTAAGCTTACAAAATAGATCTTAACCTCAAGTAATAAGGGAACAAATGCAAAATTACAAAAAGAAGCAAATATACATCTGGTATCTTAATCTGGTACCTTAAAATATGGAGAAGATGAAATAAATGAAATATTATTGTATTCTATAGTGGACTTCTTTCAATCACTGACATTAAAAAAAGATCTTGGGAATTTTAAGTCAGATCAATATATAAAGATTTGAAGTTTTCCATAGAATTACTTGATAATTTCTCCACTGAGGGACAATAAAGAATATTGCAATGACAATGTTGTTTTTAAATCATGATAAGAATGACAATAAAAATGAAAATATAATTTCTTCATAAATAGACTTTTTATGCCTCTGTCACCCCCACTTACTTTATCTTAAAAAAAATTTAAGATAAAAAATAGTCAAAGTGCTGCATTTACATTATGCTATGTTGTTGCCAAATTTGGCGGAAACCATCAAGTTACTAGGAAAAGCTACATAAAGGTTGAATTTAATGTTAAGATAATCCACAATCAAACAAATAAACGCTCCAAAATAACTTAGATAAGCCGTCTTATTTAATGTCACCAGAAGCACTTGCAGAAAATTCTGTATTTTGAACTCTCAACAAAATAGCAAAAAAAAAAAAAAAAAACATTCAAAAATTGAGCACGATGCGGTCTGTGGGGTCACGGGCTACTTCTACAGTGAGTTCACACATTTTACATACGAGTCTGGCAACTTAGCTTTAAGTTGCGAAGTCAAATTACGAACGAGACGGCACCAACACGCAACTTTACTTAGCTTACCTGAAAATACACCAGCCGCCTCAGACGAAAACGTGACAAAAAGCATAGAATCACAATCTCCTCGCATTGTCGCCGGCTAACGTGTGTCCACAAGGCTGCTCTCGTGAGTGACTCGGAAACAAAACGAACCGTCGTGGGGGAAGTGCATTATGGGATATGTAGTTTGTTGACCAAGAGCGTCTGTTTTGCCTTTTTGGGTGCTTTATAAACCGTTACTTTCATTGGCTGTACAATAAAATAAATACTTAATTTCATTTAAAAAAAACACACATATATACACACACAGAACCAGGCAAAAAAAGATAAATACATAAAAACAAGAACTAGCATCTCCTCGATGAGGCGCAAGAACGTGATGTAGTTGTAGTCCTAGTCTGTGTCTCGCGACAGGATTCCTGGGCTCGCTCTGTGACGGCTGGTCGAGGCTGCGGGGTCGATGGTCGTCCGCTGAATACATGATTTCAATCGATTAAGCCCGACTTGTAGCCGCAATACGAGGGCAACGCCAGCTGTTGAGAGGGCTCTTTGGGTGTTTATGTTTCTCAGTTAGCCTTTCAAAGTAGCACAACCATGGGCGTGGAAGTCGAGACCATATCCCCCGGTGATGGTGAGTAAATGTAGCCGCCCGGGTCGCCGTTGATGCGGGGTTGGGAAGCGGCGCCGTTGCCGACTCCTTGGCACGTCGTGGTGTCTCGTGAAATAATGCCGCCGTTCCAAAAAGGACGGTTTTTGTCAATGGATATTGCGAGTTGGCGTAGCTGGTTAAAAACATGTTTGAGCTATAATTAGAGTAGTGTGATAAGGGGCTCATCCTCACTGAAAGGCTTGCAGGACATCTTTCCAGAAAGCTCCATACTTCACCGTGAAACGTGCTGGTCCTACCAATTTGACATAACGGGACTCCGTCAGTTGTTGCTTTGCGTGGCATCAGCAATTTGTTGATATAAAACTGGAGCAAGGAAGTCCTCACTCTCATTGTCAAAAGTAAGCAGATTATATTTATACTCGAGGGGACAAAAATGCATGCAGGCTGCTGTTGCCACAAGGGAGTGACAGATCCGATGAAGTCAGTCTGCAGGCTTGGAAGGCAGGGAGCAGAGGTTTGGCTCCTGGAGATCTCGGAACTTAAACTGAAGACATTCAAGGGATGAGATTTTTTTTTTCTCAGCGTCAATTAAGAACCCTACTGTGTCATGGAATATGCATGAAATGCAAAGTGTTGTAGAAAGCGTCCCCAAAGCCTTCATGGACCTTCCTTGGATTTTAACGCTCACTGTGATCTGTTTGGTGTCCGTGCACGTTCGCCACTTGCATGATTGATAAAGATCTTCGATAATCAAATCTATTTAAGATGCACTGAACAGGATTTCAAAGAGCGATAACTGTATCTGCTTTAAAAAATAAAATAAAAAACTCTGACCAGATAATTTATTTTTTTCCTTCTCCCCCTCCCACCCTTTTCTACAGTTTGTGAGAAAATGTCCTTTTATGAAAAAAAAAGGTGCTCATTTAATGAAGGTAATATTGACAGATTCGGATATTTGGCCGACTGATCAGTGCATCTCTAAAATCTGGGACGCCGGTCTGTACTGGTCATTTTAACAACCCATTTCCACGTTTTTGTAAAAAAAAAAAAAAAAAAAAACTTAAATCCATTCCAGATTCTAACTCGCTCAAACATTTTACTACAGAGATTAATTTTAAATGATGCGGAATACAGAAAACGACATAAAACAGCAACAAAAACAAAAATAAACTGCATCTGAAAATATATATATATATATGTTTCATAACTATTGAATCACTTATTACAAGATAAGCCTCTCCTTCTCAGAAGTGTGCGAGCATACACTAATGTTTGTTTTCTTTCTTTTCTTAACAGGGCGAACATTTCCAAAGAAAGGCCAAACATGTGTTGTTCATTACATAGGTAATTGTTTCTTTTTGTTTTGTTTTTTGTTTTCATATCCTGACTCTCTTGAAACTCTGCATCCTTCCTTTGTCCTTGCTGCTGAAAGAGGAAATCTGCCCGTTTTGGACTCGATCTGCTCTGCTCACGTTACAAGTCGCTCGCTCGCACAATTCCCACATTCTGCAGGCCGGTGCACCTGCGTGTTGGTTTGAGTTTCATAAGCTCTGCGGGGCTGCGCCTCCTCTGTCAGGCACCATTAGTTTGCTTTGGTTCTGAAAGAGAAGTCAGATGTTTTCCTCTGCTCGACTCTGTTTCGGCTTGTCACTCTCTCACACCCACACACACACCCATACGTACGTCTGCTTTCGTTTTCCTGTTTGTCAGAAGGCCTTGTTTTAAGGTGGGGCAGTAAGACATGGAGACGTTTGGGGGAAATAAATTTGGGCTGCTTTGTGCCTCGGGGTTGGCTGTCCAGACAACTAGGTCAGACAGAAAGTAAACAGAACCTAGTTCACATGTCATCTGTCGGCATCACGTGTTATCATTTATGTGCATATAGAACCAGACCCACTCTGGCACAAATTTTATCATCAACCAGTTAAGTATCGGTATTTTTGTAGCATTGCCTATGGGTTTTCCTTCTTTGCCATTGCAGTAATCTGAATGTTCATTTGGCCCGGAGTTCAGCTGTTTTTAACTAATGTGTGAGTCATTTTCCGCTGAATAAAATTCAAGGATGCTCCGATGAGTAAATATTTATGACTTAAACTTATAAACTGTTACATTTCTAAAACGCTAACGGCCCCTTATCTTTAGTGCTGTGGTGCTAAGATCATTTTCAGTTTTCTTCTTCGTTTAAATAAAAAAAAACTGTCTACCAGTTAGGTTGTAGGTGAAGTGAGGCATTTTAATGAAATATGCAGTTTTGAAATTTAATTTGGAAGGAAAGAAATATACAGCCAGGCATCATCTGCATAATAGTGATATGAGATAACTGTACAAAGTAGTCACGGACCAATAGGATGAGAGCAAAAGCAACAGGGGTCCCAAAGCAGGACCTTGTGGGATGTCTGGAGAATGAGACCTTGCAAGGAGTGATGTACAAATAGAACAATCTTTGCCAAATACCAGCCTTTTTAGTGACATCTGAGACCAATTTTTATTTTTTATTCTTTAATATTTGGTTTGCATTTTAACAAAGTAGACATCTGGGATACTAATAATCCCTGTCTTGTGTGAGAAAATTGGCTTCTGTGTCCCTTTAGTGGAGTCTGCTAACAGCTTGGATGAACAACAGCTTAGACAAAGGCTTCAGATTTTTTAAGGATGATCTCGGTTGGGAGTCTCCTGGCTTAGGCTGGCCATTTGGGGACAGCGATTATGCGCAACATGTAGTGCAAAACAAAGATAAAGTGTCTTTATTTTTGTTCTTTTTTTTTTTTTTTGCACAAAACTAATCATTTTGCTGTTATTTCTTAGTATTTTCCAATAAGTGTTTTCAAATCAGTTATACTTGTATCCTGTATTGTCTTATTGAACGTAAGGTGACGTCCCCCCCCCATCTTTAATTTTCTTTGCTGTTCGACCGGCTGGATTTGCATGTAAGCTGCTGGTATTTTGGAGGCAAGGCCCTACAAAGTACAGAGTTAAGCCAAAACAAGTCTGTACAAAAGGCCAAAAAAAATCTCATTGTATGAGCATGGGAAAATGCATTTGCACAGATTAGATTGAAAATGTTTCTCGTGATATGAAAAATAAAAACTATACATCGTGGAAAACGACTGAAGACACTCCCGTTTTTGCAGAAATGTCAAATATAGTTGTTTTATTTTAAAGCAGTTAGAATCTCACACAAAGAAGGTTCTTCAAAGAGTTTAATTTAACTGTCTAAATTCAAAATCTGAGAGTGTTAGCTTTGCCTCAACCCGTTTGACCAGAAATGGAGAGAGACAGTTCTCCAAACATAACTAGATTAAGAACCTACTCTACTCTGTTTTCCAGCATTTAGCAATACAGAACTTCTCAGTTGCTCTTCAAAACCACTATGTCTCTATATATTTTTTTTATGTCTCGTCTTTTCACCCGGGGGATCTTAGACGTGCAGACACTCGCATGCCAGAGCGGACAGACACAAAGATTTGCGGCAGTGACCTCTCTCTGACTCCCGATGAGAGTTGCGATCGCCCAAATTAGCAGAGAGGTCACTGCCAGCTCGGCAGATACCAGCTCTGGCACTCAAACCTGCAGAATGCAGTGCTTTTCTAAAGTATTCATGCCTCCTCCGATTCTACACATTTTGTCTTGCTCAAAGTCCAAATTTAAGGGGAATTTTACGTGATGGCCCAACATAAAATAGCACATCATTATTAAGTGGAAATGTATTCAAAGCGATGTACATAGGAAAAGCTAACCAGACTGTTCAGCCATCATGAATCGTCTTTTTTCAATAACTTTACCCATTCCTCTTGGAAAACTATCTCATTCTTTGTTTAGATTCTTCCATCTATCCACGCTGGCTGCCTGCCATATTCCTGAAAAAAAAGGCGTCCCCACACCATAATGATGTGTCCCTACACCATAATGATGCCACCACTATATTTGAAAGAAATTCACACTCAGTTCAAAAATACTCTCATTCATCCTAAAGGGACGTTAAATGTTATCATAACTAATTTCAACCAGGTACTTTCACAGAGTCATCCTGAATGTTGATGCTGTGGACAGGAAGGATCTCCTGTAGCAGTCAGTCTCGCAGCGAATCTGGAGAAATTTGCTGTAATCATTAGACTGTTGGTGTTTGACGGTCTAATGAGTCCCATGACATGCTGACAATCAAATGTCTGGAGAAAAGAGACAATATTCCACAGTAACATGTCCTGGATGTCACTATCAGTTATTGGCAAGGACTGCTAATCCGCCTCATTTGCTTTTGCCACTTCTTTCTAAGTCTCTCTGGTAATCTTGTTTTAATGGTGGGGATCATGGTTAATGACTATTGCTGTCCTTACTTGGCCGGTTAGTTTAGGTTGATGGCCGTGTTTTGGAAGAGTCCCAAATCTCCAAATGATGAAGTACACAGTTCAATCCAATGTTCAGTGCTTGGGATATTAGCACTGAAAAAAATCGCAGGGGGACCTTTTACAAATATTGTTATTTACAATAACACCATTTAGAACCTGTCTGATTTTCCCGCTTTCCATTCATGCATCACGTAGTGTTGGGATTCATCATCACAGATAATCCTATTGAAAGATATCGTTTGTAATTGTACGTTCAAGAGGT